ACAGATTAAAAACACACACACACACACACATATATATATATATATATATATATATATATATAATTTTTATTCTTTATACTATATAATATCTTTATATTTATATATTGTCATTGATTTTTTAATAAAAAAATAACACCACCCTTAGCATATTTACGAGAATTGGATCATATTTCTAGTTTATTGATTGAAGGAATGAAAATTTTATTAAAAAGTAAATTATATATACTCATTGGTTGCGGATGTACTTATTGAATCTTGGATTTTGATGATGAAACTAATTGATAAAATTATAATTTAATATGAATTTAAGTGATGCAGGTCTAGCTTCGATCAGGGAAGATAAATTGATTAAAATAGTATAATCAAAAGTTGGATCGAAATGGAACATGTCAAAAGATTAGACGTCGGACCGGAGGAAAGTCAACGTGTCGATAGAAGGTTTCGTGCCATGAATTCAGGCATCGGGCTAGAAGGATTAGATATTGCACCAAGGAACTCGGGTATTGTGGAAAAAGACTTTTGATTATATTTATATGTAGTGATCACGGTGATGAGTTTCAATATATGATAATATCTCGTAGAAAAAATATTTGGACCAATGATCATATGATACGTAACTAATCAAATGCATGGATTAGTCTGCGTCTTTTTTGTTCTATTTATATCGATACAAATCAAAAACAAATTATCTACTTACGTCAACAAGAATACGAAGAGAAATGATTTTGTATTGTTGTTTCAAAATATTTTAGAAAATATTATTTTCTCTTCTATCCAATAAAAAGGATATGATAAAGAGGGTCAAAATTATTTTTCATTGTTTTACTATATTAGTCCTTAAACTTAGTTAACTTGATTGTCGAAAGGATCAAATCGAGAAATATATTCTTATCTCGATATTTGTACGAAGAACATCGATATGATTATCAAATTAACAAAAAAAAATCACCTGTAAACATGGCAACCTAATTAATTGCATGGATAAAATATATCTCATTTTCGTTTGTTCATATGGACGTAAGTTCAAAATAGATTATATCCTACTACGTTTATACGAATAAAGAGATAAAAAGGGATCGATATCCTTCAGACAGTATCATAGAAATTTCTTTTAGACAGATACTGCTCGACCAATGATTTTGGAACAGTCATTGGATTAGGGCATCGATCGCTGATTGGCTAAACCAGATCATCCAGGAATCATGCCACCGTTAAGTCAGTTTCACATACCCCATGTGGGGTTCATCATGTCCTTAGCCATCCTTCCATCACATCCGATAAATTTTCTAGCCCATATGAAAGACCTATATATGTCCCCCAAGGAAATGAAGAGTTACAATTAGAGATATACTTTAAGATCGCTCATCGAGTCACAGCTATGCCCGTCCAAAACTCTATGAATTATTGTGACTGTGACCCTCAACTTCATCATTTCATAGGTGCATATATTATGTATTATATGAGAAAGAAAAGAAGCAAAAAGGAAAGGATAATTTATTGAAATAAACTGCTGATAATGGATTTTATCTAATGACATGACTATACTTATTTTTTATCTAAAGTTATTGATCCGATTTCAAGAGTCCTTTGAAGGTCATATCCTTTATATTCAAGATATACTCATTGACGTAATTTATTATAATATATTATTTTTTTTATCTAATTTTATTTTTAAATTAATTATAAAATATTAAATATTAATTTTTTTTTTAGAATCAAATTATAATAGAATTTTAAAGTTTGGATAACAATTTATCCTAAAATATCTTAAAATTTTAAAAAAATAATATTAAAATAGGTTACGTAATCGAATTTAACTTATTTCAATTTTGACTGTAATTAAGTTAATATAAGAAATAAAAAATAGAAAATATAAGCTTTTTGTGATTAGTTTTATGATAAATTTAAAATAATTTTACTTAAAATATTAATATACTTTTAAGGACAACTTGAGTTTTTTTTATTTTATGATAATTTAGGATAATTCTATATAGAAACTAATATAATTTTTTAATATGTTATGTGAATGAGTGTAATTCAAGCATAATAACTTTTATAGAGAATATAGAATAATTTTATATAAAAATTAATATATATTTTAGGACTATTTAAGTTTTCTAGTTTATATGATATATTTAATATAATTTTATATAAAAATAATAAATATTTAATATATTTTGTGAATATGTGTAACGTGAGTTTAACTAAGTATAATGACTTTAAGTTAGAACGAAGGAATGGAGCAATTGAGGAGGAGTAAAAAGAAAAAAAAAAAAAAAGAGGACGAATAAGGGAGAGGAGAAGAAAAAAATCAGGAGAGAAAAAAAAGGAGAAGACGATGATGAAGATATAATCGAAGAAGAAGGAGACGAAGGTAAAATAAAAGGATGATGAAAAGAAGGAAGGAGCGGGAGATACTATCTTTTTGTAATTTTATCGATAATATTTTAATTAAAATCTAAAAAAAATTCTCCTTGGGAAAAATAAAATATGGAGCTGCTATCTCATTATTAAGGGGTTTTTCAGTAAATTACCCCAAAAAATAAAAAATGAAAAGAGAGAAGAAGAAAAAGGAGTAAGAGAAGGAAGAGAAGAGTACTGAATAAACAAGAAAACAACAGAAGCAAAGTCATCTTCGCCATCAAATCTTCTGCAACACAGTCAGCAGTTCATTCCGCGGAGAACGAGCAATCCTTTCTGTCACCTGACCTGAGAAAATTACATCTACTCTGCATAGTTTACGCTGGTAGCAAAAGCAAGAAAGGCAACATTATTGTACAGCAAGCAACAAGAAGAGGCAGGTGCAGCAGCAGCAGCTGCAGCGCCACCTACATAGCAGAAAGCCCTGCAGCGGCGGAGTTGGGGACGGTACAGTCCCGGCGAATCTCACCTTTGGACCCCGTGAGCACATCCAACTGGCTCATCTTGATCACAGCCCTCACAAACTTCCTGAAGAACCGCTTCTGCTCGCCGGCAAACTTCTTCACCACCTTCTTCGTCCTCTCATCACCGAACAACCCCTGGTCCGAGGCCAGCAGCCCCTCGCCGTTCACAAGGTCCACGAAGTACATGTTGTCGAAGGCGTCGGGCGACCGGAAGTCCAAACCGGTGGCGTTCGCGGCCGTCGCCGTCGGGCACGTGGCGTACAGCCGCTTGGCGTAGGAGGGGTCCATGTCGGAGTCCTGCGCCGGGTAGAGGCGGTCGGCGAAGGCGGCGCAGTGGCCGACGCCGATGGTGTGCGCCCCGGAGAGGGCGACGAGATCCATGAGGCTCAGCTTCTTGTCCTTGAACGTCTTCAGGAGGGCTGTGATGTTGGAGCGGGGAGAAGGGATGCTGGCGATCGTGTCGGCAGCGGGAGCGAAGGTGACGCTGTCGCGCCTGCCCAATGGCATCTTAAAATAGGGTCCTCCCGTCTGCAGCAATAACAACAACAAGAAGAAGAAGGCTCGCCTTAAGATTCGAACCAGCTCATCTTTCTTTCTAGTAGCGTGGAAGCCCTGCAAATGTAGGAGTGACAAGAACAGAATTGTATGCGTACCAAGAATACTGCTTCCCGGGCAGCGAGAGCAGTAATATCGGCACAAGAGACCACTGAGCCGCAGGCTTCGTCCACCAGGCCCCGGAGATCATCGATGACTTGGAGGGCCTTCGGCCTCAACGTCTGGTTCGGCGGCGACGCTTGCTCGCTATCACTGCCGGTGAGCAGAACCGAGCCATCGCACCCCTGACAAACGGTGGCTTAGTCGAAACAACCAGTGAATGACAAGAGACGGCCGGTACCTGAACGAAGCAGTCGTGGAAGAAGACCCGGAGGAGGCCGGCGGCAAGGCCGACGTCGCTGTCGAACACCGAACGCAGGTGGGCGCGGACGATGGACTCGAGGTCGTGGCAGGTGTCGTCGTAGAATTCCCACGCCAGCCCATCCGCCAACGGCGGGTAGTCATGCAGCTCCGAACGAGAGGAGATAAGGGGAAGGGAAGAGATGAGGAGGAGGAGGAGAGGCTTGAAGGCCATGGTTGCTGCAAATGAGACGAGGCGTGTCCTCCTCAAAACTGTCGAGGAATCTTAGTTTATAAGCCGACGGAAATGGACGTCTCGATTCCACACGAATCGAACTCCTTCCGTCCATGCATTTGTATTCTTTGACTGGTTATTTTGTTGCAGAAAGCTGCTCTATATCACATTAAAATAAATATCTTACTTATTTGTATCTAGCAATAAAATAAAATAAAATAAAATGGAATAGATATTACAATAAATTACGTCCTCAATTATTCCAAGCCGTTCAACGGGAGACACTCAAGTAAAGGAATTATTTTCCACGGTGTCTCGAATATGTTGGGGAATGGTGGGTGATCACATATTCAAAAACGTCGATTTTGATTTTTTTTAATTAGAAATCAGAATCAAACTAATTTGATTCGTATTTCAAAACCAAAATCATTGGTTTAATTTTGATTGGAATCTTATCCATCGATTTCAATTGAAATAGAAAAAAATATTCCATCCAAATTTTAACTAAAGTTATTGGGTTTCAGGTTGAAGATTCAAAAACATTGTTGTGAAAGTCTTTGATTAAAAGAAATATATTGATTTTGAAGAGATTTTTTCTCGTCTTTTATTCATGTTATTTTTGGTATTATTGTTAGTCTCGAGGTTAAACAATTAGATATGAAGATAACTTTCATTTATAATAATTTAGAGGAGAAATTTTATATGGAGCAAAAGTATAATTAGTCCTACATCAGAAATGGACAAGATTAAGATTGACTTATAAGAGTCTAATGAGTATGCTATTATTATTTTCAACTTAAACATTTTGATGATCAATCATATCATTATAAGTAATGAAACATTAGTTATTTTTTTAACAGAAGGTATAGATGGAAACGAATAAACAGCTTACAAAAGCCTTTCGATATGGTTGAGAATTTATTCCTTTGTTTGTACAATCAAATCCTGCCCAAGAACACTCGAAGGCGAGAAACTAAAATAATACATAATTAACAAAATAAAATCACCCATAAAATAAATTGGCCACCAATTCATACAAACAGGAATCAACTCATACGGCAAATTGGTCAAAGTGAAATAATCCCCAGTAGCAAGGTTACAGTGATTGGTATCACCGTAGAAAACGTAGAGAATCTTCCGACAATGGAGGCATCAGATGTCGGAACTGAGGTAGGCGTTGCTGGTGACGGCTTTGGAGGCGCATCACAAGTGCCAAAGGTGGCATTAGCCTGTCATGATGAGCAGCCCATCAACAAGTTAGAATGGAGACTATTCATTCTGTTAATTACTTCAAAGGAAATTTTCTGGTGTGTCCTGCAAGATAGCGTAGTATCATCCTATTGGATCTTTTAAAAATGCAAATGTCCTATATAACTATGCGAACTTTAGAAACACCATTTAGTGCCTTGGATGACATACCATTAAGGAATAGTTAAGGTTCACTGGGATCCTAATGTACCATAATGTATTAAAGGGGATTCCTATAATTTGCAGGAGCATATATACAAGAGTCATGTTTTTAGAAAGATAAATAGATGATTATGGTTTTCTCTGATGGCACACAAGAAATCATACCTATGGAGAATGCATAAATATGGACTGAATGACTAATTAGAGACAGAAGTCCTGTGTATATATGCTCCTGTGTATCATTCTTTAAGTACTGAATGACTAATTAGAGACATAACTCAATGCTTCACATTTCTATTTTTAGATCCTGATATCTAAAGGTTTTTCATCTAGAATTTCAAGCACAAATTTGCATCTCCTGAAATTTTCTCACCAAAATGGAATGCATAGTCGCACAAGGTCTTTCTCCAAATGCTGACGAACAGAGACTTAGTCAAGAAAACCTATTCTTAGACTCTTATAAATAGATGGTAAGATTTGGGTCCTTAACACCATCAGAAAAATTATGTATTCCCATTTGGCTAACATGATTTGATGACCATCGATGTTAAATCAACTTTTGTCGAGTCATGAACGTTCATGCAAACTGATGGGTTTGTTTAGTGTTCTCATGAGAGTATTCAAAAAAAGTCAGTCATACTGTACTCGGAATGAAGGAAGATTGAATCTGTGATCATGGAATAACCAAATGGACCCATGCAATGTGTGTTAGTACATAATCCCTATTGCACCTTTTATGCTCTTCATAAACTTAAAAGTATTAGTCGAAAGAGATAAATCGTGTGATCCTTAATAGTGCCATGATATGTACTTGCAATTGATTATCAAACAGAATAACTTATACTCACCTTGCAGTAGGCAATATTATCACAACCACAAACCATATGGCCATTCGCTACATCTGCAGCTTCAGGTGCATCACCTTTCTGCATCATGAATGAAGCAATTGAATTAGATCGAAATCCTGAGTACTGTGTAAACTGGAAAACAAAACAGAAAAGTATATAGTACCATGTAGAAATCAACAGCTACAAAGTTGGCCCAGCGGTTGGCTGACAAATCATGGCAAGTTTGAAGCATGCTAAGAAGTGAGTCAGAGTTATCAGTGCAAGCATTAGCTGGACTCGGAACCGTTCGAAAATAGTTCATCAGTACAAGAGATTTGGACGTGGCGCTCATGAGTGATGACTCTGCTCGATTGGGGCATGAGCCTGGATTCATTCCTTGATCACCATCTGCAACTCATAATACGAATTGAGAGATAAGCACAATCAGATGCATATATGACTGACTACTCAATACTAGGGAGTCAAAGCATAGTCTCTTCTTACATTGATTTTCTACCAAATAATTCCACTCGTATGCAATGCCCTCAGAAGCCTCCTTGGAAGCTATAGATGTGAAGACCAGAAGACGCTGATTCTTGTTGATCATGTTACTTAACAAAGGCCAGTCACTGCCATTCTTGGGCATCTGGTCCACCGGAAACCAATACTTCATGAGACCTGAAGCATTGAACACCTTGCTGAGGCCATTGGTGGATTTGACGTAGTCTTCAACGAATATGGTAATGACTTCCGAAGGGTTTGCTGCTAGGAACGTCTCGATTTCTTTGAGAACATTGATGGCAGGTTGCTGATCAACAACCATTTAGAATTAGAAGTTAACTAGGAGATCTCAAGGAAAACCAGTTCTCTTTAGACTTACAAAAGCAGTGTAGTTATAGCATTGGCCTCCAGTGGAGTGGCAAAGCCAGATGTCATTTTCAAAGTCGTACATATCCAGCATCAAACCTCGGACACCATTCTGCAATCAGATTCAAATATTTCTTTTACGCAAGTGCATATAAGAACAAAATGAAAGTGCACATGTATGGCCACTATATGCGTGATCTATAATATAAGTACTGTGTTCCCTCAAAAGGACACCCCCTGTAATTTTAGTCACTGGTTGCAACTAACAAAAAAGATTCAGCAAATGCATTATTAGCCCAATGTGATTCTTAAGATTGCATCTTGAAAGTTCCCTTCGGATAAAAGGTAAAAGAACAGAGTCAGCTATCTTCACTCTTTCAGTAGACTTGTGTTCTGTACCATTTCATATACACTCACAAATAAACTCAGAGAGGGATGAAATCCGAGTTGTCATGGCTCAAAACTCGTTGACCACATGAGACAACCATGCAGTCATTTGTAGAGCAAGACGGAATTAACCATGGTGTTGCTATACAAGTCCAATTATCTGTTCTAATATGCCATGAGACGAGTTAATGACTAATTAAAAAAAAAACAGTGGCATCATTAACATCTTTGTGCTTTGGGTAAGGAATACGATCCCAGGCACAACAACTTTTAAGCATCCTTAACCATTAATATATTTTGATGGGTCCAAAATTTGTGGAGTTTGATGTGTTCCAAATCAAAGTTGCATCTAAACTATGAAAAAAGTGTTGCATCTAAAAATGGTGGCCCACACAAAGGACAAGAACCTAAGCAAGCTACTCGAGCTGGCGTGCTATAATTGCATCTGACGTTGCATGGCACAGAAATTGTGTTTTGAAAGTCTTACTACTAATGCTGAAGAAATAACCTTAATAATAACGCATGCTACTTCTCTTATTAAACAGAAGAATATAAACAAGTATATATTATGTAACTATTAAATCGTATTTTTCAAAAGGAATTTTGATTACATGACACATAATATTATCTTGACTAATAAACAAGTTGGTCAACAAATTAATGTCTAAATAATCTAAAAGCTTAGTTCTCCAAACTTGTATAATCGGTCCATAAACATATAAAATGCTGTATCGAATGATATGCAGAATCGGTCCATGATTAATATTTGAAGTCAAATTTGTATTAATATATAGCCACCTCTCGAGACTAGCTCCATGCCTGATTGAACATGTGACAATTCGATGACACAACATCATGACCGATTTAACTTATCATACATTATGTACTACGATCTCATTGGTCAGCTAATTTTTCTGATCCGCACAGTCTGCCAACTCCCTGTCTTGGCATATAAATGTCATTCTCGCATGGGGTGGTTTGAAATAACAAAATCAATCTGTAATACAAAATTTCAACACAAAGCAGAACAAGCAACCTATAGATGACAGAGTAATCTTTGTTTTTCTAGAGCTTGGAACGAGCTTGTTCGACTTGTCCCTTCCCGCGTCAAAAAAAGCCAGCGAGCCACCTCTCTCTCTCTCTCTCTCTCTAGAATATTTTTCGTGACCTTATGTCATCCCCCACTAAGCCTCGCAAGTGGGTCCCAGTGAACCCGTCTTAGGCCGCAATCACAAGGCAGATAAGCGACGGGGTAATAGTGAAGGGCATAAAACGTGTAGGTGAGGTTTTGCTCTCGCCAACAACCCACCGACTGTTCGAAACTTTCGGCTATTTGACTTACCGACGACTTAAGACACGAAGGATGCGTGGTAAAGCACGTAGAAGGTCGCACCCTCACGCCTGCTCGACCCTCGATAATAGCCAACTCACCATGTTGCGACTATATCGCGCCTTAAGTGGGAACAGCTTGACCGCTTACCCGCCATTCCAAGAAAGCCACGTTGCAATATCATGTTTGTGAGCCCCGCGACCTACATGTCGCGAACACCCGTCGCGAAACCTCGTTCCAGGAACGTTCTAGAATACCGAGCTGCAAGCTATCCGCGGCTAGAACCACCGAACCCCTCTATTTTGGGTCCCAACACCGCCGGTGAGGCGTACATATCAGCGAGGTAACAATGCGAAAGCAAAGGGGCAATGAAACATGCGCGTGAGAGACAGAGCGAGAGAAACGAAGGTGAAGAGGGAGCGAAGCGTACATTGAGCTGGGAGGTGACGTTGTCCAACTGGTTGGTGAAGGTGAGAAGGGAAGCACCGGTGGCAGAGCTCGCCCCCGTCATGGCGTACGAGTTGTGCGTCGTCAGCCACGAGTACTTGTTGAACGGCAGATCCTTCCCCTGCGCACATCCGATCCCAAATTAGCCCCCATACCAACCACTCAAAACTCAAGATCGAAACAACAGAGGACGACGAACGCAGACCTTCGATCTCGGATCGTACGGCTGAATGCGCACGCACGCGCCCTGCTGATCGCCGCAACCGTCGCAGCGCAGCCCGGCGTCGCAGTCCCCGTCGGCCGAGCATGCCTCTCCCAGCTAACAACACAATGGATCGGTCATGGAAACGATGAAATGACTGGCCTAAAGAAATAGAAATAGAGAGAGAGAGAGAGAGAAATAAGACCTTGGCCGCGGAGGAGAGAATAGGCGAGGCAAGGAAGAAGAGAAGGAGGAGGAGGAAAGAGGGAAGCGTGGAAGCGGATCTGCTGCTCATCTCAGGCTTCTTCGTTTGCTTCTACGGCCTCTGTGATGGGAAGGGGTTCAGTTTTCGACTCACCGGCCGCCGAAGATATTTATAGCACGACGACGGCGGGCGAGAACGAGTCAATACGGGTGCGGGCTTCAAGTTTGACACGATTGGGCTCGACCCGACGGGTACTAAAGTCCGCGACGCGGCGAGGATTCAGCACTTGGTATAACATCTAGATATCAGCAAGTCTGACTGTAATTGGCGAGGTTTTGGTTGACCATGAATGGAGACTTGAAGAATGTTATCAAGTTAGATGACGGTCCGTATAAGGCACGGATCTTCAATGTTCCAATGCATCTGAATGATACTATTTTCCGAAGGGTCAATTGAATCAACGTTTATGAGTTTATATAGTTGAAATGCTGAATTTTATCGTGGATTTTAAATTTATGATTGTGATAGGAAATATTTGGATAGTTAATCCCCATTTGTCAACTAATCTCTCCAATCATTGACGGGATGATTATAACATGTTGGCGCTATAGATAATAGTTCATAGGAGGTCTTTGAGACTTGTCCCCTTTTATCATTATTGTAAATAAAATACTAAGGGAGAACATTGATGTCAAGGCCCATCGAGATTGATTAAGTATAAAAATCAATCATTGGCATCGGCTCGAGAGATATGCTCGAAAGGAATATCTCATACCATTAAGAAATTTTGGATTAATTTAAACGTTGGATGGATCATATTGAGAAATCCCTCTTGACATTGATCTTTGTGTAAAAAGTTCTCAAGAAGTTTAACCCTTATCTTAAAGCCACCATGAGTCCACAACGGATTCACAAAAAGTCTACCTCGAAGTCACATCGAGTTCATATCAAAGTCATTTTAAGTATCTCAGGACAACTCGGAGGAGATCTTGTACGTTCCTACACATTCGAGTCTGGATCAAATCGAGCTGATTCATAAAGATACCTTCCATCAACATATAGATAAAACACTTATAGTATATAGTTACTCAGGTCTGTTCATATATATATATATATATATATATATATATCTATCGAATGCATTAAGAACGTATGAAATCTTATGTGAGGAGGAAAGCATTTGAGGGGACTTTTCATAATACCTAAATCATTATACTTCTATATACATCCTGATGTGATGATTAAGCATCATATCCGGGACATGCAATAACACGATTGGTAACACTTAGATGATAATGATATATATAATTAAAAATATCAATCATATAATATTGATATATCAATTAAATAATATTGAGATATCAATCACATAATTTCTTATATACATCATAAATACTTGTATATAGGTATTAAGCAAATCTTTATGGGCGAAATTAGAGATTTAAAAAATAATTAAAATACCTATATATTAATAAAATTATAATAAAATCAAATAATGTTTATAGGGTTTGATCTTAAATATAATAAATTTAAGTTGGATCTAATTATTATCAAATTTAATATATATTAATATTAATCAATTTGACTCAAACTTATGGTCATTCAATTTTCTACCTTAGTTTCATATATTTATTCTAAATGAGTGACTTTAAAAAAAAAAAAAGATATGTAGCTGAATAGATTAAAGATGTAAGATAATATATTGGATTTAATTCATAATTTAATAAACTTAAATTTTTTGATTGAATTCATATTCAATCTTATATATATTATCTGATTAATTTGACTCATTATTAGGTTTTTATATTATTAAATCAAGAGACACACGTGCCCATTGCTGTGCGAAAGTTTCGGGCCCTATTTGGCTCGTGCGAGCCTCCTTTTGCCAAAAGGCCGAACGAGCTTCCTTTTCCCAATTAGGGACGGACCCCGCGCTTGTCGACGCCTCGCCCGTGTCCTCTCTGTCAAGCCCTTTACATCCTCTTGTTCTTTTCCCGATTCCTCCCCACCCCTCACGATACCTAAGCCCGGAAGCCAGCCTTTTGTCCTCCCGCCCATCCCCTCTCGCTTCCCAAACACTAAGCCTCTGGTTATGCCAACGTGTAATTGTCCACAAGTTTGAGTCCGGTTCGTTGCACCAGTAGAAAGTCTACACATCGTCGAAAAGGCTGTTTGGTGTCTGCGTCCGGCATCCTAGGAGCCGGTTCTGTTCCTCGAGGGTCCCGCAGGTTTGTACACCTCTGGGCTGGCGTCTCAGGGGTTCGTTTATTTAGCTCAAATAATCCGGAGCAGGTGACCGTGTTCCTCTGGTTCACTCGCCGGTGACCAGACCGGGCCGCTCTCAGGGTTGGGAGCTGATAAAGGTGGCGAGGGTGGGCATACCCCACGCGGACGCCGCTCTCCGCTCGGTGTACTGGCTCTCTTCGCTCTCTTTCGTCTCCTCATGCCGGCCGCCCATGATCTGGTCTTGTTCCTGGCATTGGCTTCCCTCGGATCCCGCAGCAGCCTTCGAGTGATCGCGGGGGGTGAGTTCTCCCAGCATTGATGCCTTCTTGTGCTCTTTCGAATGTGAGATGGGGCGTATTAATGGTGCTTGGTTGCTTTCTCCTGGGCTTGTTTCCAGTGCCTATAATGATGCTGCATCTCTTAGCTCATTAGTTCTGAAGCTTCTCTGCTTTTGTTTTCTTCTCATCGTGGTTAATTGTGAGCTTTTTTGGTCGTGTGAAATGCGAGGGATGATTAAAGGGGTTCCTCCTTTTTTGTGGGTTGATCGAGTTTGAACTTCGGTTGAGTTGCTTCTTTGGGCTCTTATCTCTGGTGGTAAGCACGCATTATTCGTTTTCACTGTGACTCGAGAGCGAAGATTAGCGTATCTGCCGCATTTAGATTGCTTGATTTGTTGCTCGACTCCTGACATCTTCGATGGCAATCAGTAATTATGAAGATTCAAATTTAAAGTTGGTCATGTCCATTCTCATCTCCAGAGTTAGACCAGGGACGAATGCTGGAATGAAAACAGTTCACTGTAGATCACTTGAAGTAATGGATCAAGACAAGATTTTCAAGTGGGTATATGCTGATCTTGTCATCTTGGGCTGTGATTTTCATATATAGTGTGAACCAGGTCTGGGGAATCATTCGTTACTTTTAGTTAGGTTGTCCTTGTTATTTGATTGGTGGTTATATAGCAGGTTTTCTTATCCTTCACCGGGATCTATGGTCATAACATTGTTGCAAACAAGACTACAAGATGGAGAAGATGCAAATTCAGTATGTTGTTAAAGCCTTGTTACACGGAACATGCCATTTCTTACCTACGTATCATGTTTATGGTGAATGATTATACTGTTCGATCTACTCAAATGACAGCCTGGCGCACGAGGCTTTCATCGATGCAAGGTTTGGAGAGGATCAATGTGCACAATCTTGTCATAAGCAAAATCATCCTATCACCATATGGACAACATGCAAATTTAAGTTCAATTGTGGGGCTACTTGTTGAAGATTGAATACACATGTCCATCAAGGGGGCCCATAAGAAGTGTAAAGGTTTACACTTTGCAGTCTCCACCATGATGACTTACGACTAAATGGTTACGGTGATAGAAATATATTTGAGAAAAAAAAAACTAAAAGGGTTATATTGGTAGGATTGATGGGAAGTTTCAGTTTCCCTTATTTCTTTCTCCAACAGTTTTTTGAGTCGTATAGATCTTCTTTATTATTGCTCTTTCAAAAAGTTTTGGTACACATGCTGTTATTTATTTATTTTTATTTTTCTCATTTACTTTGTGTTCCTGTTATTTAGCTTGGTCCTTCTTCCCTATTAAATATGTCTGTTTATGGCATAGTAATCATTTCATTTTATCATGCAGATTGTCCCCTGGACTTTAGTTGGTCAAACTACACCTTAGCGTCTTCTGCTTGCTCAAATCAAAATGAGCGAGGCAATTGCTGCCGTTATATTAATGCATTTGTTGCGATTTCTATTGCTCGATTTGCAAATGCAACTGGCAGGCTTGGAGTTCCGCCAGCATTCACTGAAGTCTGCCTTAGTTCCATTTCAGAAACCTTCGACTTATATGGCATTCCAGCTGATGCCACTGCTTTTTGTGGTTTGGGACCAAAAATTCGAGTTTCTTATCAATGCCAGGGTAGAACAACTGTGTTGGAAATGATGCAGTCCCCCAATTTTAGTGATGTTATTGAAACTTGTAATGTGCCCCTTTCATTAGATAATAGTTGCAAGAGGTGCCTAAACTCTGGCATTGTATACCTTCACCACCTCATAGCAATAGATGATAATGTCACATTAAGTGTCTGTCGCGATGCAGTTTTTGTGACACTTGCAAACCAAGGTGGCAAATTTTCTGCTGTTGATATGGCCACTTGCTTCTTTGGTGTTCAAGGGCTCACTGTTCTTCCAGGTTTGATTAATTTGAGATTTGACTGCATATATCTTTCGAGAGTAACACTTTAATTGTTCATATGTAGAGCCAGTTATTTATACATTTAGAACTACATTGGTTATGCTTGGATGACAAGTATGCAGTATGATTCCTTGAGATGATTTAAACCAGCTTGTTACAAATTTGGGAGTATGAGACATTGTGTTCGCCAATGAAATGTCTATTATGAAATGCGAGATTGCTATGACAAGACTTTCTTACTATTTGATTTTATGTTATAAATGATGGAATAAAGCTATTCATGAAAATTACAGCCGGTGAAATGAATTGGAGATGTTTTTCCCCATTATGTGGACCAATTAGCACTAAAATGGAAAAAGGCTAATATCATAACTATCTGCAAGGCTTTTTTTTTGGTAGACAAAAAGTGTGATAAATATAAGTGTTAAGCAAATAGAACAGAAAGATGTATGAATGATAGCCGTTGACATTAACCCCGTGAAAGTTCGATGTGAGATAATGGCATCTACATAGACCATTGGTGGTTCAACTGCCTAGAAAGGTGTATATTATGTGGATAGTCTAGGAGAGATAAAGACAGTAAACTGAGATTTTTTAGGCTGATGTCTGTTACAGCCTTAACAGGAATGTCACGGTTGTGTGTAACTTGTACTGAAAGTCACCACTATTGTACATCAGAAAGAGACATACCTAGTGATGCCAGGCTTTTTCATAGGAATGAAATTATGATGGGGTACACAAATTCTACATCAAATCACTGGAAAGAGTTATAAAATAAAATTGCTTCTGCACCTTTAAGCGAACCCATGACATGGAAAGACTGCTGATGCTTCTGAAACAATTTGAGTGTTATTACACGATCTAATCTTATTGGCAGAATGACAATACTGTTTATTCTAATACTAAATGTATCGTTATCATCTAACAGTTGTCAATTACTAGCTCAAGTGTGCCTTTTCAAATTACTGCATGCTTATTGGGTCTAAATTTAATTCACTTACATTTTCCTTACTGCTTTAAAACTTTTCTCAAGTAAGTAAACCTGCTGATGACTTTTCAGTGTCATCCTCTGAATCATCTACACCTACATCTCCAAATTCTACATCTTCTCCAAGTTCTGTTTCTGCTCAAGCTCCAAGGCAACATCTAAATGCCATTCCTATCAACAAAGTTCATCACACCTACCACCTTACGCTGATTCCAGGAATTGGCATTGGGGTCATAGGGCTGACAATTCTGTTGCTTCTGATCTTGATAATGCTTATTCGTAAGAAAAGCAGAGAACTCAAAAATGCAGATACTCCGATAGAGAACTCATGGGATGCTTTCTCATTGCCAAGCACTCAAGTCCGGAGGTGTCAAGAAGGTTTATTTCTTGTCTGTACTCTCTCATATACATCTACTTAACATTTCAGTTCATTGTGCTAAAAAAGCCAGGCATTATAGGCTAAAAGCTTGCTTGATCAAAGTGAAAAGAACTATTTAGTGTAGAAGAATCAATGGAATATAGCTGAGAACAAATGGAATAGTAGAATCATTTAGGATTTCAGTAATGTTTCCTCATGTTTGTCTATAATTTCTAGCTAACGTTGGTAAACTGGATCCTTAACATCACTTTAGTTGGTTATCCTAATAAAATATTTTATGTGAAACATCTGTTATTCATTGAATTTTTACCTAAAGAAGGTTGATGGACTACAAACTCAATGAGTGATTCATAGTAAGTTAGCATAACTTGTCGGGTTTAAAGTTTATCTGTCTGATATATGCTCTCCTTTAGGTCCGTCAACAATGTTTCGAAGATTCACCTATGTGGAGATAAAGAAGGCAACAGAAAATTTCAGCACTGTTATAGGCAAAGGTGGGTTTGGAACTGTCTACAAGGCTCAATTTGCAGATGGCTCCATAGCCGCTGCAAAGCGTATGAACAAAGTTTCCAAGCAGGGTGAGGAAGAGTTCTGCCGGGAAATTGAGCTTCTTGCCAGACTGCATCATCGCCATCTTGTTGCTCTCAAGGGTTTTTGTGCTGAAAGAAATGAGAGGTGCATATTTGATTTTGTAAATATGTGAAGATTTTACCTGAATGCTTATTTCCTTTGCCTCAATATTTTTCAGGTTTCTGGTGTATGAATATATGGAGAATGGAAGTGTTAAGGATCATCTTCATTGTAAACCTTCAATTCTTGTGGCTTTCTGTGCTCAAGTTACATGTTGTGTTGTTTCTTTACTTGGGTGCCATTTACTGATGCAGCATCAGGAAGGAATAGATTAAGCTGGAGGACTAGGTTACAAATTGCGATTGATGTGGCCAATGCTCTGGTGAATAATTAATATTTCCACAGCAAAGAAAAATTTTGGATATCTATGCTGAATGTTTGAGTTTTTCTTATCAAAGTTTGAGGTCTTCCATGTGGAGTCTCTTCTGCATTCTTTTTGGAACTCCCACTCCTCTATGACTCTATCCCTAGCTGATGGTGGATATAGCATTAATTTATTATGTATTTGGTTTACAAAATATGCATACTCGATTTGCAATTTCCTGTTGCCCTTTGCAGCTTTCCATTGCAGCTTATGCCACTGCATTTAAAGAAGCATATCTAAACTCCCTTTTGAGCTTTATTTGATGCTTCTACATGAAATCACCTGATTCAATATCTGTTACTGTGCTCCATTAACAAAATATTTTATACTTCTTGCACCCTGCGTGCCACTTGATCCCTTTAGAATAAGTTTCCTGCTAAAGGGAAGCTTATCACTGTGTTCTTACGCAGAAGTCTGCTAGCACCAGCACCATATGGAAACACATAGTGTCAGATTTGTATTATCTTTTCTGATATAAGTTGTGGCTTTGTAATTCATGAAAACTTGTGCGCTGACTGGAAACTTGTTATGGTTTGAGCTGTATGATAGAGCAGCTAGACAGAATTAATTCAACCTGTCATTGGAAGGAACTTACTACCTATTAAGTATGATGTAAACTCATTGATGAACTCATTGTGAAAGTCTCTGGCTGAGGGCTGCTAACCGCCGGTAAAGAAGCACTTAATAAAATTCAAATTTGGTGCTTGATTTATTTCCATTTCTGGTTATTGTAGTGGATTCACTGTTAGTACCATAAACAGTCATGGAATCTTGTGTGGTGATTGAAAACTGGATGCAGGTTGTATGCCATTCTTTTTGTCAAACGATAACACTTTTAAAATGCTTTTCTGAAACAGTTCCTATGTTGCAGGAGTATCTCCATTTTTTTTGTGATCCTCCCCTATGCCACAGAGACATAAAGTCGAGCAATATTCTTTTGGATGAGAAATTTGTGGCTAAGGTAAGTTATTATCATGCATTTTGATTCTGTCTTTTACTCGGTTTGGTGGATCACAACACTTGTCTGTATATAGGTCGCGGATTTTGGTCTTGTGCATGCTTCGAGAAATGGTGCCATCTGCTTTGAGCCAGTAAATACAGATATTCGTGGAACTCCAGGCATGTATCTTTGAGCCCTATCATAACTGCTCAAAACTTATACCTGAAACTCCCATATAGCTGGATTAGAGTAAAACAAGATAACATATCTTAGAACAATGTGGGATGGATCCAACTCATCTACTTTGAAATCATTTAGTATACAAGTCATGTCAAATGACAAACAGAATGTTAGTGGAAGAAAGAGTCATGATCATAGAGGTATATGCCAGAAATGGTGATAATGATGGGTAGGGTGGTGGGAGGTGCGGTGGTGATCGGGTGCTGCTATGGTGGTAGACAAAGGCAACCGGAATGGTGGCTTTCAATTTGCTAATATTGGCAATTTTGTGTGCTGGCAGGTCAATTGCATGTGGAAATGTAAGTTAGAGGATCTAATTTATTGTAGAAATGGCATCTACAACCAAATTTCAATATTTACTGATATTCTTGTATTTGCAGTTGCAAAATTTTCCAAATACAGGTAGCCAGATAGTTTAGTTCATTTGCTTGCTTAATTAATCATTGACACTTGGAACCTAGCTTGAGCTACGAATAGCAAAGTAATGCATTTATCTCATAACCGCTGATTAGTTCTTGCTTGATGGATCAAAAAGAAATTTAAATGGTTTTCTACAGCAAAAATAATCCATCAGTAGGAAAAAATGGTAATCCTTTTAAATATTTAACATACAGGATACATGGATCCTGAATATGTGGTGACTCAAGAGCTGACAGAGAAGAGTGATATATACAGCTACGGCGTGCTATTGCTGGAACTGGTGACCGGGAGGAGAGCCATACAAGAAAACAGGAATCTGGTCGAGTGGTCTCAGCAATTCATGGCAACAGATTCAAGGTTATCGGAATTGGTAGACCCCGCCGTTAGGGACTCATTTGATTTTGAGCAGCTGCATATGGTGGTAGGGGTTGTGCGGTGGTGTACCCACAGGGAAGGGCGAGCAAGGCCCTCGATCAAGCAAGTGCTCAGGGTGTTCTCCGAGCATTTGGATCCAGCGCAAAATGGCTTCTCTGGAAATGAAGGCAGCGATGGTTATGGCAGTGGGGGGACTAGCAAAGCAATAATACACAAAAACGAGGTGGTTCCCTATAGCGGTGACGGAAGGTGTCTACAATCGTCGTCGAGCACTTCGAGATCCTATTGTAGTCGGAGCATCTTGCTGGAGAGTGGTTCGCCACAATCTCCCCCCGGCATGATCTCTCTTTAATTTCTCTTCTTTAGTTCTATCGCTATTATGTGGGTCGTGGCTTTTTAATCAGAGGACAAGCTCAATGGCAAGTTGTAACAAAGCAAAGGTTTGGCGATGTTCCCGAACAATATAATCTGTTGGAGAAATGCTTAGAATTTCTGCAGCAGTTTAGATAGCTGAGAGTGCTGCAAATGTATATGCTTGTTGTAGCTTCTGGTGCTTTTGACGAGGTTGCGTTTGTATCTGATTATTATGGATGAGTGTAACTATTATTACGATACCTATTTATTCTTTTTTTTTGTGAATTTTTATTTTTATTTGCTGTATATGGTTTTATTTGTTTATTTATTTATTTATTTTATTTTATACTTTGCTGTTAATTTTAGCTGCATAGAATTAAAACTTACCTGTAGAGATGTTGTGGTTGTCTTAATTATTTCGTGGATGATGTCACATCCCATAATGTTTGACGTAAGAATCGTTTCCACTTGACGCCACAATCTTATCAACGGACGCATAGTCTTGCATGAAGTCTCCGCAACTCGGCATGTGAAGGACCGACAGCATAACTTGCACGCAAAAGGTGACGATCAAACATTCTGTTATGGTAAGTAGCTTTTTTAGTCATGACATTGGGGTCGACGTGGCTGGTTCAGGGGTCCGAATGGCGGGGATTGGGCGTAGCTCCCCTTTGGCGCTTGTGGTAGCCGATCGCGGGGGATTCGGCTGGAAAGTTCCGCGGCGCCGGGTGGGGGGCAGCTTCGGTCGAGTACCTGCACACAGGCCGGGTCGGCAGCTCGGCCTGACCCCTCCGACGATCAAGTCAGTGATGGGGAGTGGAGTTCTGGATGAAAATCATGTCCCCCTTTTCCGTTTGGAGTCCGGGGGTATTTATAGGTGAGTTTGATGTTACCTGATGCGCCATCCTGTCGGAGCAGGGTCGTACCTCTGATGGTGCCTGTCGTCGTCGTGGGCGTTGCATGGAAGGCCGAGCTGCCGCAGGGTAATGGCGAGCTTCAGTTGACACCTTCCCCTGCCTCGGCAGGTCGTGCGGGGTCAGATGATGAGGTCGTCCGGGTACGACGGGTGTGGGCGTACATCCTGTTGGTTTTAATGCTTGCGCCCTGGGGCAGTGTGCCGTCCAGGGGTGGCTGACGACGTGGGGTATTACATCAAATCTGTTTTTACCCCTATCACATTCTACAATTTTGTGTCGAAATGTCAGCATCATTTCATATCATCTCATCGGTAAAATACATCATAAGATCTCAATTATATAACACCAAATCCACATTTAGGCATTATGTCTCCCACAAGAACTACTCTTCGGCTCTTCCCCTTCTCTGTCGTGCTTCCATTTAAAGAGATATATATACCCTCGTGCTTCGGATGCTGTATTATATGATGGCCTACCTAACATGCAGATGATCCAGAGCTGGATGATGTAATGATTGAGCCATCGCCCAACGGCTGGGAAGTCAAATCGGTGGTCTCCATCTAACTAGCGATTCACAACCTGCTCTTAAACCAACACATAAATTATCTTCAATCCCAATCATTTAGTCAACAGTCAATCAATGATGCAATCCCTAAGACAAACCCGAACGAAGTGTAGCTGTAAGCAACACGCATCACATTATCATCAAATCACGAGGGCCGGAGGACAAAAGTCGTCGCCGTAATTTTGCACCAATTCAGAAGCCAATCGAGTGAGAGCAAAGAAGGTCCCACTCGGTGGTCCCCGTTAATAATGCGGTCACCCAACCATACCAACAATGTGGTCCGAGCAATGTGATGGATGTTTCACCACTTAATGGACTCCTACGTGGTGGTTGGTGGTCCCTCTCATGGAAGCCTCCAACCATCTCAGCTCATCCCCTCGCCTCCATGATTGAGCTTCGCCAGCATGGAGATGCTTTCACCATGAGAATTGTATTCTTGGGATCGATGATTGTGATATTTCTTGCACGGCCATTAGATGTTTACTTCTGTTATATATCGCCAATCGTTTTCTGCAATCGGACATCGCTGTAATCTAAAAGCTTCGAGTCAATTCTTCCAATCATTGCCAATGAAAGACTCGATAGCTTATCTCTCGCTTCGACTTCTCTCTCGATCTTCGTCGTCTCCGGTCGCAGTCACCTTCCACGGTCGATCAAAGTGAAAGAGAAGACGAAGAAGATGCTCGTGGTGGTGGCGGCGGTGAATTAAGAAGAAGGAAGAGGAGAAGATGACCTCTTAGACGACATGGCAAAACGAACAGTCCGACAACGGATCGGTATTTAAGCTGTCACCGTGCTGTTCTTGTTGGCTTCCCACCTAATGTGACGTTGCACTCATGCACGTTACACGGTCTTTGCCTGTCGACGAAGGGCACAGTTTAATGGTGATCGGCCAACCACCCTTCTCCTTCAATGTGTGTGCGCCTTTTGGTTCCAACATCACCTCAGAGAAGGGGAGTCCTGTGATCGTGTGAATGGAGCCCTCTTTGTCCCAGTCCTTCGTCCGTCCTGATGATAAGGGATTCCCTTTCGATCCTCGCATCCGTCGACGTACGTACTCCTCGGTGACTTGCGAGTAATAGCATACCCTCGACTCTGCGGTGATTGCGGGCTGGCACGGCATGCATGGAGATTGAGGCAGCATCGACGAGGGTTATCTGCTGTTGGTATGGAACGATAAAAATACTTGTGCGCGTTTAAAGCGAGGCGAGCACGGAATGGCCCGTGTACGTGGATTGATGGAGACCGGGACATGGGTGTTGCAGAGGAACACGCCAATTGCATCTCTACCACAAGGGTTGGTATCAAAGGAATGAATGGGCGGGCGCCACCCTCCACCGATTTCTCCCCTCGTAGCTGCTATCGCGATGCAATGGAACCGCCAGATTCGCCCATCACTCTCTTATATCTCATGCCTTGTGCAGTCCTGAAGTCGTCAATCGAGACGCAACCCTATCTCCATGGCGCTTCTCGAGTCCTCCCTCGGGATGTTGTGGATGCTGCTCGCCGCATCCGCCGTACGCTTGTTGGCATCGACGTCGGCTGATGTCGACACCTACATTGTTCACATGGACTCCGCCGCCATGCCGAGCGCCTTCTCCGGCCGCCGTAGCTGGTACGCTGCCACTCTTGCTGCCACCGCAGACGCCTCGGACGCCATCCCCGCCGACGAGAAGATCGTGTACGTGTATGACCACGCCATTCATGGATTCAGCGCGCGGCTCTCCTCGGCGCAGCTGGAGCAGCTCAAAAAGTCGCATGGCTTCCTGTCGTGCTCCCGCGACGCGCCCGTCAAGAAGGACACGACCCACACCTCGGACTTCCTCGAGCTCAGCGCCAGCGCCGGACTATGGCCGGCCTCGAACTACGGCGACGACGTCATCATCGGGGTGCTGGACACTGGGATATGGCCCGAGAGCGCCAGCTTCCGGGACGACGGCCTGACCGCCGTTCCGTCCCGGTGGAGGGGGGCGTGCGAGCAGGGCACGGCCTTCCGCTCGTCGGCGTGCAACCGGAAGCTCATCGGCGCCCGGAGCTTCAACAAGGGGCTCCTCGCCAGCGACCCAAACCTGACCATCGCCGTCAACTCCCCCCGGGACACCGACGGTCACGGCACGCACACATCGTCCACCGCCGGGGGGAACTACGCGGAGGGCGCGTCGTTCTTCGGGTACGCGTCCGGCGTGGCGCGGGGCATGGCGCCCCGCGCGAGGCTGGCCATGTACAAGGTCCTGTGGGACGAAGGAGCGGTCACGTCGGACATCATAGCAGGGATAGACCAAGCCATATCCGACGGCGTCGACGTCATCTCCATGTCGTTCGGCCTGGACGACGTCGCTCTGTACGAGGACCCGATCGCCGTGGCCTCGTTCGCGGCCGTGCAGAAGGGCATATTCGTGTCGACGTCGGCAGGGAACGAAGGCCCGTTCTTAGGCTTCCTTCACAACGGGACGCCGTGGGTCCTGACCGTCGGCGCCGGCACCGTCGACCGGGAATTCGCGGCCGTGATCGGCCTCGGGGATGGCACCCTGGTCATCGGGCAATCACTCTATCCGGGAAACCCTGCGACGCTGAAGCAGATGCCCATGGCCTTCCTGGGGTCCTGCGACAACACCACCCTGCTCAAGAAGACTCGCCACAAGATAGTGGTCTGCGAAGCGGATGAGTTGGGCGGTGCCGTCCAATATCTTCGGTATGCCAAAGTGGACGCAGGCCTTTTCATATCCAACGACTCCTTTGCGCAGTTATACAGCCAATTTAGCTTCCCTGCGGCCATCATAAGCCCACAAGATGGCCCGACCATCTTAAACTACATCCAGAGGAGCTCTGAGCCCAAAGCCACCATAAAGTTCCGGCAGACAATATTGGGCACCAAGCCCGCGCCGACGGTGGCTACCTACACCTCGCGAGGGCCGTCGGCGAGCTGCCCAAACGTACTGAAGCCCGACGTGGTGGCTCCGGGATCGCTCATCCTGGCGTCGTGGGCGCAGAACTCGACAGTGGGGAGGGTCGGCACGCACAAGTTGTACAGTCCATTCGCCATCATCTCGGGAACGTCGATGGCCTGTCCCCACGCGTCCGGCGTCGCCGCTTTGCTCAAGGCCGCACGCCCCGGGTGGAGCCCGGCGGCCATCAGATCGGCTCTGATGACCACCGCAAGCCATTTGGACAACACCGGGGCGCCCATCAAGGACATGGGGAACGGAAACAAGCAGGCGAGTCCACTGGCAATGGGCGCGGGGCATATCGACCCCAACCGGGCGCTGGAGCCCGGCCTCGTCTACGACGCCGACACCAAGGACTACGTCAACCTCCTGTGCGCCATGAACTTCACCAGCAAGCAGCTGAGGACGATCACCGGAACCGCTACCGTAGATTGTTCGAACCCGACGTTGGATCTCAACTACCCGTCCTTCATCGCCTACTTCGACCCAAACGAGACATCAGCGAGCGCTCCCTCGGTCCGCCAGTTCCGTAGGACGGTGACCAATGTCGGGGATAATCCGGTGGCGACCTACATTGCCAAGCTCGTGGACATCAAGGGCTTCACCGTCAGTGTGGTGCCAGAAAAGCTGTCCTTCAAGGAGAAGTACCAGAAGCAGAGCTTCACCTTGACGCTGAAGGAGAACACGAGGGAGAAGAAGGATGCGGTGCGTCATGGTTCGTTGACTTGGGTGGACGATGAGGAGAAGTACGTAGTTAGGAGTCCTATAGTGGCCACCACCGTAAGTCCCATCAGCTTGTAGACGGTGAGGGGGGAGTGACATTAATAATCCCCCCAACTTGACCCATTGTTTACACACTAATTAATGCAAATACACTTCAGGGGATGTCTACATTTGGCTTTCTTTGACTGGCGTTTTCCTCTTGTAGATGAAACAATACGTGCTCGATTACCCATTGCTTGATCCAAAGAGTCATAACAACGCTAAGAACTCGAGGAACAACACATCCTCCACAGATACATGTATATATGTCACATGTAGGATCCAAAGAAAGAAGAAGAAGAAGGGTTGTTGTCGTACGACGTGGCTTTATCTTCTTGGCCTTTATTACTGCCTGTGGCTTTTGAGCTAATGGGTGCAGCGGCGGACCGCACTGCGGGCGCCTATTTTGTTCGTTTCGAGCATCGAACTCCGGTCGTCTTTACCGTTTGCCTGTTCTTCGCAGCACCAATCATCGATGGGAAGAAGAGGAGGCGATGCTAAAGGCCAACTGTTAGATTACAAGAAACGAGAAATCTAAATTAGATTTTGGAGTTACGTAAGAGAAATCTATTAATTATAAGATTTAGGTAAGAAAATATTATGGATTTGAGTTTGAATTAAGATAGAACGTATGTACGCCCATATTGTGGAAAGAGGGCACTCGATGACGGGCCTTTCTCTGGAAAAGATGTATGGATGCGTGTCCGCCTCGGCTTAGCTCCTTTAATGGCCACCGAAGGCCCAGGAAAGCAACACAAATGAGAGCAGGCACGGCGGGGGCCAGCAGAACCTGCCTCGTTCCGTGGGAAAGGAGTCAACGTAGCAGAGGAGAAAGCAGAGAGAGATGGAGGAGAGGAGGAAGAAGAATCCACACCCTGCTCCTCCCTTCACTGAAGCAAGGTAGCTCTGTTCGACTCTTGGATTCATCCCCAAGTATTCCTTCCCCATCCCTTCCTTCTTCCCCATCCGCTTCTTCTTCCCCACGCTATAAACCATTAAAATATTCGGCCCTATTCACCCTATGCGGCGCCTCCTCCCCCGTCGTCGTCGTAGAGGGAGATTATAACAGCGGAAGAAATGGATGATTACCATGGGAAACTCCTCTTCAGGGCTCTCCTCATCGTCTTCTTATTGGGTATGCATCGATTTCTTTAGTCCCGTTCTCTTGACAGTCTTATTTGAATGGACCCTCGTCTGTTCTTAGCCTGCTTTGTTCTTCTCCTGGTCGTGAGGGAAGTCAAGGTTGTTCTTTGATCGGCGGCTTGCTTTGGAGATACCTGAGGGTTTTTGGTTGTCAGGAGCAGAGGCGGCGGAGGGGGCGAGAGTGTTCACCATAATCAACTACTGCAAGACGACGATATGGCCGGGGATCACGCCGGGGAACAGCTTCAACGGCGGCGGGTTCCCACTGAAGCCCGGGGAGTCGGTGGTGTTCACGGCGCCGGTGGGATGGTCGGGACGCATCTGGGGGCGAACCGGGTGCGACTTCGACCGCGACGGGAACGGCTCGTGCCAGACCGGCGCCTGCGGCTCCGTCCTCAAGTGCTCCGCCTCCGGCCAGACCCCCGCCACCCTGGCCGAGTTCACCCTCGCCCCCTTGGACTTCTACGACGTCAGCCTCGTCGACGGCTTCAACCTGCCTATAACGGTGACGCCGGTCAACGGGCAGGGTGGCAACTGCAGCTCCGCCGGCTGCGACGGCGACCTGCGCGACAACTGCCCCTCGGAGCTGGCCGTCAAGTTCGACGGTAAGACGGTGGCCTGCCGGAGCGCGTGCGACGTGTTCAACACCGACCAGTACTGCTGCCGCGGCGTGTTCGGCAACTCGGTGATCTGCCAGCCGACGTACTACTCCAAGATCTTCAAGCAAGCCTGCCCCGGCGCCTATAGCTACGCCTACGACGATCCCACCAGCATCTTTACCTGCGTCGGCGGCGATTACATCGTCAGCTTCTGCTCCAAAAGGTATCCAATAATTGCATTTTGGCGTTCAGCCTCCTTATACTACTGCAATCTCGGTATCGGTAGGTTGGAAATCGTAGGGAAGATAGATGATCGACCCAAGTAAAAGAAAAATGCATGTCATGTTTCACCACCTCTCTCGATCTCTCGAGCTAACATCGTTCCATTAGAACTCCTCCTGCTAATCAAACAATTAACTTCACATACTATCGAGACTCAAAACCTTATTGTTTCTGACATGGATCAATCTTTTGGATCCGATGTCCTTCGGCCTTAGGCACACTCGATCTGATCTTACCATGACACTGAATTCATCACTTGCATTTTAGTGTTGCATGAACAATCCAAGTTTTGGCATGCGATCAAGTTTCATCAGCAAGTGGAACACACAAAAGATTGTTTAGACTTGGCACTGAGCCTGTGAGCAGGTTTGATTAGAGCTCTTCCCCTCGTCATCAATCGTTCATTCTCATTGCAGCCGGAAGCAGAGGGTGTGCACCTACCACATCAACAAGCTGATATGCAGCGGATCACCCGGACGAGGAGCATCGTCGACAGGGAAATGGCTGGCTGTGCTGCTCTTAGGATTGGCGAGCATGTGGTGGTCATCGTGGCTGTGACACCACTGAATTCTTTTCGTTCTTATCTTTGGGAAAAGTCGGTGAGGATGCCTCAAGAACAGGATCCTCTGCTGTAAAGTTTAGATTTTATTCATTTGGGTGGGCGATGGTACTCCAATCATATATATCTATATATCTATATATATTCTTTCCACGAATCAAGAATGATGCTGCTGCTGCTGCTTTTTCTCTGTCGTGGTGTAGAACAGATTCCTTGGCTTCCGAAGTGCCTAAACCGTGGTTGAGTTATGCATGACCAGTGAGTGATCCAACACCACAAAGAGGCATCTGAGGCCAATTGTGTGGGGTTGCCACATTCGTTTCTCTGTCAAAGTTCATGCTAACAAGCTGTGCTTTGTAATTATGATGCTACGTTGATGAGGCATATTCCGATTGATCGAAAATAGTAGATGTGTTACGGTAAGTAACTTTTTTAGCCGTGACCTGGGGGTCGATGCGGCTGGTTCAGGGGTCCGAACGACTAGGATCAGGCGAGGCTGCCAGGCTTGAGATCTCGAGACGGCCGGTTACGGGGAATAAGGCCGGGATACTCCGCGTCGCAGGGTCGGCTTTCCCCGAATACCTGCACAAAGGTCGGGTCGGTGATTCGGCCCGACCCCTCCAACGATCAAGTTAGTGGTGTAGAGGGGAGTTTTAGGGGAAAATCGTGTGTTTGTCTGCTTACCTTGCCGACTGGGAGCCCGTGGGTATTTATAGGTGAGCTCGATGTTACCTGACGCCACCCCGCCGGGGTAAAGCCGTACTCCTGATCGCGTCTGTTGCCGTTGTGGGCGTTGCGCGGTAAGGTCGAGTTGTAGGGTGTGGCAAGCCTTGGCCGACGCCTTCCCCTACCCTGTCCGGTCGTACGGGGTCAGCGAGACGAGGCCGTGCGGGTACGGTTGATGAGGGTGTGCGTTACGCTGGTATTAATGCTTGTCCCTTGGCGTGGTGCGCCGTTTGGGGCGGCTGTCATGGGGCAGTGTTACGTCAAATCCGGTGCGTCATGCCCTATTTGCTTTTACCCCTATCAAGATGTATTCTCATTATGCTTTAAGATAAGGTGGGTTTATCCATCTTTGAGCATGATGTTAGCTTTAGAACACTTTGACGCCATTACCGTCTACATTAACTGTTTTCGTTTGGTTGTCTTCTTATTTTGGATGGACACATTATGCATAAAGGGATACATGAACACTTTTATCTGTTTTTTTTATATTTTAGATAAATGTATCATGTGGAAGAGGTGTTTCGAATGTAATCTTTCATCATTTTCGACGAACGGATCATGCGTAAAAAATATATATATATATATAATACGTCGGACGGATGCCCTTTCGATGCTTTCTCGGCTCAATATCAATGATTACATCTATTCAAATGGATCAATAGCTATTCGATATACTTAGGTTTGTCACTTATATGGTCTAAAAATATAAAAAAAAATACTTAAAATATCATCAATTTCTTTTCTATTTTACAATTTCAGGATCTTACTACTAACCATCAAAATATTTATCATTTGATATCTTCAAAGATTTGTCAAATAAAATTTTACGCCTTCAAAAACTTTGTCAAATAAGTGGATACGACACACTATCATGAGATCAATATTTTAAATATAATAATATTTTTAATTATGATAATAAGTTTGTAAAGGGTATTAATATAAAGTAAAGTTACAATCCACGCAAGTTATCTCACTCTTATTGTCGTGGAGAAAAGGTCAAGAAGAAATTGTTAAAAGATTATCTTCTCATAAAATATTTTTTTTTTAACGACTAGGCATAAAAACATATTTTTAATATAGTAAAAAAGGAGATCACTCTTGATCACTTATGGTTATATGCACCTACATCGAATTATTAACTCGAGTGTCAAATGGACCGAGTTAGGATATCTTCCTCGATCTTAGTCTTTATACAGATGATACTTTGGGAGCTTGATGTTTTGACTTTGGAGGCACCATAGATAATCATATGCACACGGATTTAAATCACGTCGGACTGATCAAGACGTTAATAATATATATATATATATATATATATATTCCGTGCGTTGTGATGGGAGAAGGTCGACAAGAGAGGAGGGGTTGGTTGGAGCCTAATACGAGCCCAATGTTTGGTCTCGAGAGACATCGGGCTAACCTGACCAGATCTCGCTTCCCTATATAAACGTCGAGCTCGACCCAACCCGGCCCATTAATCTTCTTCCTTAAGGATACTCGCCGAATCCCTAAAAGCCATTCGGTCGCCTCGCTTCCGTCCCAATTCCCCTCTCTTCTTCCGGATCGCGCCGCTGGCCGTCACGCGAGCCTTCTCAGGGTACTCTCTCTCTCTCTCTCTCTCTCTCTCTCTCTCTCTATCTCTCTCTAGTTTCAGCGTGGGGTAAATTCTTAGGACCAATTTCCTCGAACAATCAAAGCAGCAGATCTGTTCGATGTCATCTGAAAAACCACCTTTTTGCAACTTCTCGAACTTTCATTTAGTTGCTTCGTTAGTATTCTCTCGTCAGGTACTAAAAACCTTAATGATGCTATGGGACAATTAATATTCACCTGTAGAACTCAGAATTGAGCTAAGCGTGCGGCAGTAGTCATAGATTAGCGACACACGGTACTTGTGCTTCTCATGCGGTTTATTTTCTTTCACATGGATGGATTGATTTTGAGATCGTAAAGTGAGAAAAATTACTGGGCAACCTTAGGGAACCTGACAGCAATTTTTTTTTTTGTTGAGAAAATTAGCTTCTAAGCTCACATGGTTGATGTCGGACAGATTTGCTTAGGTGTTTGGTTAAACTCGATGAGAACAGGAGACTCCACTTTCAAAATGTTAGATATGGTCATGATCATTGCAACTTTTGTTATGCCCTTACCTTACCTATTGTGTATTTATATTCATGCGTTTGGGTGTGAGTTTGTGTTTTGAACATGCATGCATTGGCTGAGTTACTGCATTTTGTACTGTTGGTACAGTCAAATGCTTGGTTTATGGCTGCTGCATAAGTGCATTAACTAGTGGTTTTTCAGTGGTAGCTAGTATCTTAATGAGACACATATGAACTGACAATTCCGCGCAACATAACTTGGGTTAGCCCTAGGTTTATTTAGAACCTGATCTAATCCACCCAAGATGCAGCTGTACTGATGCATTCCTTTGCCCCTTTTTTGGTTGCAGGTTGGTTTCTTGTAGAAAAGGATCCCGTTCGACACAAGCATGGGTAAGGTTTTATTTTCTATTGACCAATTCTTACTTGCATGTTTTCTATTAGGGTTTCCATATATGTTTCGGTAACTTGCTTATTGTTCCTCATTTTCTTTTATTGCAATGAATACTAATTGATCCCTTTTTTCATGCTTTTGCTGGTTTTTTTTTGTCATAAACATGTTCCCTTCAGGCTTTCTTTAGCCTCGTGAATCGGGAACCTGTTGTATCCATTATGATTGGCCAGTTTGTTTCATTCTGAAACCCCATGTATATCAAAGGTCTTCAGAATGACCAATTGTGGGCCAATTAGGTTAATCCTTGACAAATCTTGACTAATATTGGATGTCTGATGGGTTATTGGTCAGACATACCAATTTATTTGTATCCTATTAGTCGCAATGGACTTCCAGATGATCTTGTTGATCTGGGTTGATCACAGGCCAAATGATCACTTCAAAATAATTGATCTCGTGATCTATTTCGGCGGATTCAGACATATCCCAGTTTGAGTTTGGCTAGTGAGCATATTTCTGATGTAAAGCCAACAAGTATTCTCATCGTTAGTGATCGTGAGATGATGCTGCGCTTAATGGATGTAAAGCTAATATTTGTATTGGAGTGTTGAGCATTTAGGGAACATGAACAGAAGTTAGTACATTCGAGATGTGGATGTTGAGGAGGAAGTACAAGGTTCTTAGAAAAGACAGAATAAAAAAGTAATTTCATCTACTTACAATTTGGTGCAGCTCTAATGAAGAATAAAATGAATGCAAACCATCTAAGATGATATGAATGTGTTCAAATGAGATCTATACATGGCTTGGACAAGATGAATCGATTAGGATCTATTGTATGAGAAGAGGTAGATGGACTCGTAGAAGAACCTTAATAGAAACAATAGAAAAAAAGTTTGATTCATAGGGATATTACCCTACACAAAAATCAATGACAGGGAAAGATCCCTGTAGCAAACAATGGAAAAGATGACCACTCTTAACTTTACTAGATAAACTACCTTACACGAAGCTCAACGGCGAGCAGAGAGCATGTAGCTGCCTCCAAGTACTTGGGATATTTTGCCATGTTTGTTATTGCCGTTGTTGTGTTTCTGATCATGGGATAGCTTGACACATGACGTATATGTTTGAGGGATTTAGACCAATTGTAACTTTTTTGGTCAAATGCAAACTTTGAGGAGGTATAAGACAATCAAGGGTGGGAAAAATCTTTCAAGTCTTTGATCTGTTAGCTTCTAGGAAAATCTTGTTTTTTTTCTCTTTGCATGTGTGATCTGTCAATTATGCTCTTATCGTTGTCTTAGTTGGTAACAAAGACTCTAGTTGATCATATGTTTCTGCTTTTATAATTTGTGTTTTCAGTGTAGACCATCTGAACTGCGGAACATATCTAAAGGGATTGATCTTCCTTTTCCTCATAATGTCTTTACTTGTATTTCTTAGCTCTATATCTTTCAGACGGTTTCTTACATGATCTCAATGTTTTCAGCCTCGTATCTTCCTGCTACTACTGATTCAATAGCACAGGCATTGGAGGCTAAAGATGCTTCTGAGTCCATTTCTATGCTCTATCGAGTCCTTGAAAACCCATCGGCTTCTCCAGAGGCATTGCGCATAAAAGAACAGGCGATAACAAATCTTACTGAACTGCTTACACAGGAGAAGAAGGCTGAGGACTTGAGAAGCCTCCTGACCCAGCTTAGACCCTTCTTTTCATTGATTCCCAAGGCAAAAACTGCAAAAATAGTGAGGGGAATTATAGATGCTGTTGCAAAGATACCAGGAACCTCTGATCTCCAAATCTCTCTTTGCAAGGAAATGGTGGAATGGACCCGTGCGGAGAAACGAACATTCCTCAGGCAACGAGTGGAGGCTAGGCTTGCAGCCCTGTTGATGGAAAGTAAAGAGTATTCTGAAGCCTTGACACTTCTCTCCAGCCTAATCAAGGAAGTCAGGAGATTGGATGACAAGTTACTTCTAGTGGATATCGACCTTTTGGAGAGCAAGCTTCACTTTTCCCTGAGAAATCTACCCAAGGCGAAAGCTGCATTAACGGCAGCAAGAACTGCTGCTAATGCCATTTATGTTCCACCAGCACAGCAGGGAACAATAGATTTACAAAGTGGCATCCTTCATGCAGAAGAGAAGGACTACAAGACTGCTTACAGCTACTTCTTTGAAGCATTTGAAGCATTTAATGCTCTGGAGGATCCCCGAGCTGTCTTTAGCCTCAAATACATGCTCCTGTGCAAGATTATGGTTAGCCAAGCCGATGATGTTTCAGGAATAATATCTTCCAAGGCTGGATTGCAGTACGTAGGTCCTGACTTGGATGCTATGAAAGCTGTTGCCGATGCACACTCGAAACGGTCACTGAAGTTCTTTGAAACCGCACTTAGGGATTACAGGGCCCAGTTGGAGGAAGATCCAATCGTTCATAGGCATCTGTCGTCATTGTACGACACCCTCCTGGAGCAGAACCTTTGCAGGTTGATCGAACCCTACTCGAGGGTGGAGATCGCACATGTAGCCGAGATGATCGAGTTGCCAGTGGATCACGTGGAGAAGAAGCTGTCTCAGATGATACTCGACAAGAAGTTTGCAGGGACCTTGGACCAAGGTGCAGGTTGTCTTGTTATCTTCGACGATCCCAAACCTGATGCGATTTTTCCTGCCACCCTGGAGACCATAGCCAACATCGGCAAGGTCGTGGATAGCCTTTATGTGAGATCAGCACGTATAATGGCGTGAAAGTCGGGTGGTTCATCCACGGTGGTCTTAGAAAACTTTATACGATGTTTGTTTAGCAGTCCATTGGATGGTTGAGGCTTAAAACTTTCTCGTTTCTTTGTCCCACGTTGGCTGTGTCCATTATCTTGTGCAAACTCTTAATTGTATGAACTTGGTACCTTCCGTTTGGGTTTGGGTTCATTTCATTTAGGACAACGTGAAGTAGAAGACCATAATGCCTGTTGTTGTTTGCTTGTAACAGATGTTTTCTGTTGTTGAAGTTTTGAGGATTGTACCCTCCATCGGACGATTTGGGTTCGATAAACTTTGACTGTCCTACCCTATTTTCTTTACGTAACTTAGGTCGAGGCATACACGCTCAACGAAATTTATGCTCAAGTCAATGATTTTATAATCATTATTGGTTATAGAAGATTAAGCATCGATGGGAAATACATTCCCTTGAGATTCTATGATGATGTGGCACATCCTTGTCATAAGTATCTACTTATGACATAACTATCTCAAGGTCTTATTGAGTGTTTGATGCACCATAAGAACCATATGCTCGCCTAGGAAATAAGCATATGTCCGCCAACTAAAATTTTCTTGTGTGATGCATCTATTTTAACCCAAAAACAAAAACTCACAAGGTAAAAGTGTTTTTAAAAATATAAGAATCAAAATGCTAAAGATAATTAATTATAAAAAATAATATATAATTATATATACCGAGTAAGATCTTATAATAAGTTTTGTATAAATTGTTAGAATAAATAATTATAATATTAAACCATTCTCGATTACTTTGCCTAGAACAAAATTACCCCGAGGGTTTAGACCAAAACTCTATGAGCGAACATTTACACTTTCTACCATTCCATCTCCATCCAACTCGATTATTGGGCTCCCTTCTCTCTTAACTCAAGATTTCCTCCTAAACTCAGTTCAAACGTAGTTTAGTCTCGATTTCTATCAATATATTCAATTACCCATCTGATGTAAAGATGATCCTCAAAGATCATGTAACTACCATGAATAACAACACTGACCTCTGGATTTTGAATCGATGCTCAATAATGTACATCATACCAGCAAAAACAGATTCAATAACCAGGATATCATGATCATAATAATATGCACATGATCCAATATAATGTAACTGAATTGATTTAGCAAAAGAGGAAATTAAACTCATCTATGCCATAATTAAATCTCAAAGACAACAACAAGCAGCTACTAAAACACGGATTAGGGAGGTGTCCTCAAAACAACTAAAGCTGTCATACAGTAATGAAGTTCAACCACACAAACCATAAGAGAAAAAACTAAATTTAAACACTCGAAGCTGAAAAAATCCCAAAGAGATGGGGTCTCCAAAGCAATTACAACATCATGACTAAAATGGGTTCATTCAACAGCATCACAAAGAAGCGATTAGCATCACTACTAGGTTAATCCACATAGATAGATGATGATGGGGACAAGGCAGTACACTTTTAAATTGAGTCATATATGGGGCAAGCATCTAAAAAAGCACACCTGTAGAAAACAAAAAGGAATGTCAAGCACCAAGCTGCTCTAATTGGTCACTGAAACTACTGGAAGAGTAGTTTTACAATGATCAAACAAGCATAATAACATTTAAAGGTAATCTAACTGTGTTAACACAAAAAATCCATTCAACTTAATTCAATTCGAATCCATCCACAAAATCATAGGTCTATGTTTGTTCTCATCAAAAGCAACTTTTTGAGTCCAAGTCCCAGGTATCATAGATTCAATAATTCGAGAGGAAGGGAGATTGATGAACACTTGGTTCATTGTGCAAACATTGGACGGGTTTATGGTAAAAAAAATATTGTCCCCTAGGTTATATTTTTTTTTCTATACTCAAAATCTTAGCTATAAAGTGCAAATCTTTGCCTATCATGACATCTATGAAGATGACCATAGAAAGACCGAATATCTTCGTAAACAGCTCAAGTTCATCAAACCAAAAGACAACATTCTAATTTGCGAGCATAGGAAGGATATTTGGGTGAATTTTTTTTGTTAATTTAGCTGTTTCAATTGGTAATTGCTAATTTCTCATTTCAACAAACCTCCTTTAACGAATTCATGGTAAAATCAATTAGGAAAATATGACTGTACCAGCTACGGGAAAATATTTCCTGAGAAATTTGTTAATTTAGCTGTTTGAAAGTAGACACATGAGAATAATTCACATGAACTAAATAAATAAACACTCCTAAGTCCCGTAATATCAATCTTAACACGTAGGACACATACCATAATTATGAACCGAACTCAAGTAGAGAACCGGATAGTTATTTCAATCTGTTGTGATGTAAATGTCATATGAACATCAACATTGTTCTGAGTAATTTCGAATTTTAGCTATATACAAGAAGAAAAGAAACATGAGTACATTAAGCATACCTGGGAGAAGCATCATGGAAACACAAGCATCATCTTTTTCACTGACAAGCTCCTATAGCAGAAACTCTTGGACATTGAATGACCAACTGCTTATGCGGATAGTGAAAAGAAGAACCATGTGATCCATCTCCACCTTCAGTGTCTTCAGACTCTCTGTTGGCATCAACATTAGTGGGTTGGTCTATATGGATTACTTGACCAAACAGCTGGATTGATCCTGTACTAGTTTTTTTAACAGGATCACTTCCTGGTTCAGGTATCTTTCTGTCTAAAACCTGGATGCCACCCTGGCTAGGAGGAGATGATCCTCCTGATTGTGAAGTACCCCCAATTTTTAATTCCACGAATACATCATCCTTTCGTAATGCATTAACACCTTGTAAGTCATTGAGAACTCTTCGATTGGTATTCATTATGGAGTCACATAAATTGGGTGTACCAATGGAATAATGCCTGGCTCCCTGCATGCCAGCAGGAAATACACTGTAACTGAACACAGAGGAGGGTAGACTGCCGACAATTGTGCTCTTCAATTCTGTCACTGGGAAGAGCATGTCACCCTCTCTATCACCACAAAATTCTGAACTTTCGAGCATCTTGATTCTCTTTATAACAGAAAATTGAGATTCTATCTGAGGACTAGCAGAAACCAACACCACCTGCCAGGGACTAACATTTCCCACGTTTTGCAAAATCTCTGGTTCATCCCAGGTAACCTAATAGAAAAAGGAAACAAGGACAACACATTGGAGCAAATCATGAAGACAAACCAATGCTCCTTTGACAATAATTAAGGTGAAATAAGAAGTTCAACAGAAAATCAAATAAAAAACCATAACCCTTTTTGGATTGATTACTCAGAAACATAAAAATATATAATTGCTGTTTCATATTTCCTCTATAAGTGCATGTATATTAAACAATAAAATGCATATCTTGATAGAAAATGAAATCCTATCGCATTGCAGTAAACATTCCCATGCTCCAATCTAATCCATAGACGACATAAATAATTCCTAATAAACATATTGATAAAACAGTAGCTGAAAAGACAAATGCACCAATCCTGAATCCTAAAGAACCTCAAGTCTTGTGCAAGAATTTCTAGTATCAATTATTTCCAAGCATTCAATTATGTCGCTGCAGTAACATTGGAGGAAAAGGATTTATAGCCAAGACAAAGTAAGATCGAGATATTAATAATCATTCAAATTAGCTACATATCACAGTCACTTCCAACATTACTTCCCAGACACCACGCTCTGAAACCCACAAATAAAGAAGAAAATAATCTAATTCCAACAGAAGCTGCCAGTGTACACTTGCTTATGCTAAAACCAAAGAATTCACTAGAAACCATTCAAATTCAAGATCTTATTTGGCATTCAGTAACTAGTTTAATCTTATTTAACAATAAGATCAGAGATCTCCCTTCAATTGGTTTAATCTTACTTAACAACAAGATCTATTTCTATCAATACAACCAAACATGTTACCTGGACAGGCATCCACAAGACTTAATTATGTCTAACACATTAGCAAATCAAATATTTATCAAGACTAGAAATAGAATTTCAAGTATTAATCAAGTAAAGAAATCAACAAGTAACAAAGTACATGCTACCACAATAATAATAATGATGGAAAATTTTGGTTTTATCACTTCATACAAAATTATCTCTCAGTGTCAAAACATAATACACATGTAGTCACCAAAAATTACTTGTTCCATATGTTTCATGTCTTCTACATCTTCTTAATGAACTGGTACCAGGATATGTACCAAAAATCCAGACCAGAGTTCCACAAATAAGCAATATCGCTTGAAGTTAATTTTAATATGTTTGATATGGAGATTGGTATTGATCATCAACCTACTGAATTATGACAGATTTCGTTAGGCGAACTCATCTCGATAGTGAAGGTCAATTCAGCCCACTAACCTGCAAAAGACCATTTACTTGCCAAAATATATTAATAGAATTTTAAAAAAGCATGTTCCTTCTAAGGCCAACATAGAACTGAGCAATCCCATTTGTCTTCAATGAAGATGGTTGAAGTAACAACTTTGAATTGCTTTTGTTCAAGCAACTTGGTCCAGTGTGAAGAAAATCAGGTTCCAATAATGCTTTACATCTTAAGATTGGAGATAAATCTAACTATGATAAATTACCACTGCAGAAAGTAAGTTTTGGCTAGAGCCAATTTGATAAAAACTAGGAAGCACAGAAAATGCTAATACTTATCATCATCATCATCATCATAATCATCTAAAATTGGGCTATAAAGCAGTAAATTTCAGGACAAGCACATCATCTAATATTGTTTTAAAAGGTTCCATGTACCATTAGGACAACATCATGAAAAGATCGTCTAGTTTCAAGGACTTTATCATGGGAATTCAAGATAACATAGTGATGTGGTAAAGATATTTGGTGCAGTCTTACAACAGCAGTAGCACTTCTTGGAGTGTATCTGCATAAGACATCAGAAAGATGGAAGCTAAGGTACAATGTACAAGTTCCAGTGTTATGTTTCACAAAGAGATATCAAACACCTAGACCTCATTTGTTATTGAAGAACCAAGGACATAAACATGTGAAGCTAATGGCACTTGCTAGATACATTTGGTTCCCACTAGAAACAGTCCAAAATCTTATATGTATCTTGAAAAGCATTAAGTACCTCAAAGAGTATTAAGGTACTTGGAAACTGGAAGGCTAGCCAAGCACCTATGGTAACACCATGAAACAGGATAGAGGTAGCAAAAGAACAGTGTTGTGTAACATTCATTTCTTATTTTCTTCAAGACTGTTAGTAAGATTTTTGTAGAATATAATTTCCATAAACACACTTAAGATAAAACCAAGGATCAACATACAAGTCATTTCATATTATGCCATAGGAACAGGAGCATGAATGGTACATATCATCTGTTTCACAATACTTATTTGTGCAGATACACCTTGCACAGGCTCAGCCGTTGACCAACTGCAGACCTGGCAGAATCAACGTCTCCAATCTGCTGTCATAAATGACTAGCATGGTGAAATTTCTACCATACTTGTCATGCCATAATCATTGTCCAGACACTAGCATCAGATCTTTGACTTCTTTTAATACTGGACCAACAGAGTTCATGACATAGGCTAATCAAAAGCAGACATTCACATGATAATAAGTCTAAGCAAATAAGATATACTGGGGTGCATGTTGATTTTTGGGATGGATGAAACTCGTTCAATTCTAATGGTCAGAAATCAAATTCTGTCTTGTTAGGTCAATTAGGAGATGAAGAATCCCATCTTTTTGTTGCTTCTGTTCGTTTGTTCTGAAATGTACGACTCTATGAAGGCGTTGCCTGCAGTTTACTGCAAGACACTCAGGTGCCATGCAAGACTTAGCGATTGCTAACCACTTCTCTAAACTGAATGATAGAACACAATCAGAAAGCCGGCTGATGCCCCAACTCTAGACTAAGATCAAACTGTAGAATTATATTGTGAAGGAAAATGTATTGGACGGTGATGTGTGAATGCATTAACTGTCACCAAATATTTATATTAACGTCATAATGCGACCCAGTCATTGATAGTGCTGTAGTAGCACCCACCTATATAAAAAAAAGAAAGTAGATATACTATTCAACTCTAAACCGGCAAGTTCGGACCAAACGCCAAAATTAACTATTACTTGATGGATAAAACTAAGCAACTATTTTCAACCCAACAAAGAAAAAAAAAAAGGAACAAAGCAAATTTGAAATGATGTGAAAAAGACCGAAGTCTACCACTACCGAGGATCGATCGAACTAGCTTCAACGATAGCAAATCAACAACAATAAACGAACAAAGAAAGCGAATCCAGCAACCGATCACATGAATAACCGAAGCATGAGAGGTCAAAGAACTCGTACCTCAAGCATTCGCCATGGCGAGCGTGGCCACAGGTCCACGCTATTCATCCTCACTGAGGATACTCTGCCCTCGTACCAAGTCATCCTCGCTGAGTCCTCCGTCTCCACCGACATCCTAACCCGCATTCCAGTAGTCCAACGCACGCTCATCGCAACTTCCACTGATTCCGCCGCCACCACAAAGTCTGAAGATCCAGCCCTCGCGTAGTATAAGACCTTGAAAGGGAGATCCATCCCAGCCAATCTAACCGCCGCCACCACCGATGTGGCGGGAACTCTACCTCTAGCGTTGCTAGAGAATCCCTCGGTACCGGCGAGGAGGCTACCTCTATTCACTAAGGCCGCGGCTGATGGGCCGCAGGGAGAATAGTCCACAGGGCCGCAGAAACGGCTGGTGCGGCGGATGCCAACCAAGATCTGGCCAGATGAGTTTCTCATGAACACCACCGAGTCGCCGGCGATGAGCTTCTTAGAGTTAACGAACTTGCTCCATCCGGTGGTCAGGAGATGGCGCCGCGGAGTCCCACGGTAGATGTGCCGAAACTTCCAGTGATTCCCGTGGACGTCGTAGACCAAGATGAACTGCGCCGGCGGATAGGCGTTGAAGTCGAGACGGGGAAAGATCGAGTCAGCGCAGAACCTCGGCACCGAAAACCCGCCCCCATTGTTAGCGTCGCTGGGGGTGAGGATCTTGGCGAAGGAGACGAAGCCACCGCCGCCTCCATCTGCGACCTCCGGCAGTGACGGGCAAGAGGAGGGGGTCATATACCCCGGCAGCGGCACGTCGGCGGAAGGAACGCGGGGGTCGAGGCTGATGCAAGCGAAAACCTCGTCCGTGTCAGGACTAGCGTGGAGGCGGACGGCGGAGATCCGACAGAGGACGGCGTTAAAGAGGGACGGGAGGGTGGAGAAGTCAGGCCGGGAGCCGGCCTGCTCGGCGTGGCCCTGGGGGAAGTAGTACACGCGGGATCCCACGGCGGGGATGCGCGCGGCCGTGCCGGCGCAGGCCTTCCACACCTGCGGTTCCACCGTTGGCATCTCCCTCGCGGGCGCCGCCGCCTCCTCCTCCGTCGCCATTCGAATTAGGGTTCGGAGACGGGGAGTTCAGATTTGGATTAAGTCGGGGCGGAGGGAGTCGGGATACATAAAAAGGGCGGAGCGCGTATCCGAAGAGGATGAGAGCAAGTTGCAGAGAGAGGGAGTGTGCGTAAGTGCGTGCGCGCGTGTGTGTGGGTGTGGGTGTCTTCGGTTCGGGAAGTAGCGGGGAAAATTACGAGGCCTGCCACTGGGAACGAGTAAGAAGAGCTGTCGACACTCGCATTGCCAGAAGGCGGTTTCGATGGAATCCTCCTACCTTGTGCCATGATCGAGCGCTTTAAGATTCGGAACAAGTTGAACGCCGTCACGGAGAAAAGATCGGAGGCTGGACACGGTTGTCCAAATTTCAACAACTCATCAATCGACGCGTACCCGTGACAGACAGGATATTCTACCAACCGATCGATTAACGCGGAACCAGTGAAGCTTGTGTAGGCCATTGCATCAGGATTTTGCGGTCTACTCCGGACGTGTGATGGGAGGATGGAGGGAACAAGGAGAGGACAAGGCACACAAAAGGCAGCATGTCTCGGTCTCTGCCAGCCCCAAGGAGGGGTGGGGAGCTGGTCATAGTGCAAAACAGCAAACACGCGAGTAGGACAAGGAGGTGGTCAAGGGGGGGCGCCTCTCGCGCAAAAGAGCAAACACGCGACGGGCAGTCCATCGGTCAAGGGGCGTCACGCCCTTGTGAACCTGGTCGGGTACAAGCGATGACGTAAAGTGGTCTGGAGTGGCCAGTTTCTCACCTGCCCGTGCCAGCTATATGCGAGATGGCCTGTCGGTCGTGCGGCGAGAGACAGATCGTTTTCTCCGTTTTAATTTTAGAGTAGAAAGGTGGTGGTTGTCTTATCCAACATTATTGCCGTGGTTGCTCTGTATAAGAAGGGATAAGCTCTACAATTAGATTGATTGTGTTAGGATAATTTATTTTAAGGCTATTATGAAGAATGTGTAAATTTCTAAATCGTAATCATATATATATATATATATATATATATATATATATATATAAATACTTATAACATACACTAAAAGAGAGTCATATCCTTCAGAAAAAATAATGTATCATCCTATTAATGTATCAAAAAAATCACCAATAAGATATTCATAAATTGGTTTGACTTCCAAAATTGAGAGAGAAACTCAAGTGGAGAAAGGTTCGGAATAACAAACAAGCACAAGAGAAGAAGACAACTTAAGTATGTATAATCTTTCCTAGAGAAAGAAACTGCGGATGAGGGAATCGCATTAGTTAATAGCTTCGATTCGACAAAACAGCGAAGGACATATTAAAATCTGTAAAAAGCACGAACCTTTTTGGTGCTGTTTCTTGCTTCCTCTTGTATTATTACGCTGGTTCAAAACCCTGAAAGATTTAAGAAAATACCCCAAGAAATCTAAACCTTGGATCAAAAGAAAGTTCGATCAACAGAAACCGTAGCAACGGGGGAGAGACGAGAGGCTCGAGAGAAGACGACGAAGGAAGCCCTAGAGTCTAGGTTCCGAGAAGAAACCCAAATAAGTCCCAAGAACAAGAGGAAGCAGCCCTAGAGTCTAGGTTCCGAGAAGAAACCCCAAAAACAAGAGGAAGCAGCCCTAGAGTCTAGGTTCCGAGAAGAACCCCAAAAACAAGAGGAAGCACTAGGAGAATCCAAAGGAAAAGAAAAGAATCTTACGTGACCGAGAAGGATGATGGAAAACGAAAACGAGCACTGTTCATGGACTGTACTTGTCGCTCTCGCAGACATCAGAGAATCCCAATGTCTACTAAATATATTATGAGTCTTGGTGTCAAAAGTCAAATAAAAATGGAGATGCGGGGTATCGATCCCCGTACCTCTCGCATGCTAAGCGAGCGCTCTACCATCTGAGCTACATCCCCTGATGATAAATTAGTGATCAAAATATCTACTAAATATATTATGAGTCTTGGTGTCAAAAGTCAAATAAAAATGGAGATGCGGGGTATCGATCCCCGTACCTCTCGCATGCTAAGCGAGCGCTCTACCATCTGAGCTACATCCCCTAATATTAAATCAGTGATCACAATATCTACTAAATATATTATGAGTCTTGTGTCGAAAGTAATACTCATATAAAAATGGAGATGCGGGGTATCGATCCCCGTACCTCTCGCATGCTAAGCGAGCGCTCTACCATCTGAGCTACATCCCCTAATGATAAATTAGTGATCACAATATCTACTAAATATATTATCAGTCTTGTGTCAAAATTAATAATCAAATAAAAATGGAGATGCGGGGTATCGATCCCCGTACCTCTCGCATGCTAAGCGAGCGCTCTACCATCTGAGCTACATCCCCTCACGTCAATCAACGATCACAATGTCAATTAAATATACATTGACATTTGTGTCAATAGATTTGGACCACAACTAATTAGAGAAGATTTAGAGTAAAAAAAAAGAATTTTGTCAAAAAAAGAATATGGTGTATAGCCTGTCAAACAACCTTAGAATCACCCTAGGTGGCCACAGCCAAAAGTCTTTTCCCATTAATCACACTCTAATTCTAAGGTAATCTGTCATCCTTAAAAACTTCATTGCTTATCTACTCTGAACTCAGAAAGATAATTGTACGAGACTAGAGAACAAATCCTATTCAAATAAGATCATGCTTTATGCGTATGCCAAGCCTCTAATATATGCTTCATGCAAGATAAGCAATTAGGATATGGGACTAAATAGCCTCTAAATTGGCATTCTAGCGAGCCAACTTTACTTACATCTATGCTTCACCGCTGGCTTTCCACAACAATAATGACCCTAATTAACTAAGTCTCGCAGCTTCAGCATCGGTCATTTTGTTGTTGCAGCTGCTATTGACGACCAGATGAATCTAGATCAAATATATATGGATAAGACAGATGCGCAAGAGGCTAATTTAATTGAAATACAAAGCAAAAAATTACCAACTATTTTCTTCCACTATCCAGAATACTAAATTTTCATTGGTAATATCAATTTCTTTAATATTGTTTTGCATCATAATTCTAATATTTTTTTACTTCATACTTGTCACTTCGATGTGTAGTTTGTCAGACATCCTTAAAATCACCCATAGTTGGGCACAACCAATTGAGAATAATCCTTGACATTGTGTGCATAAAAAAAATGATGTATATAGTCTGTCAGACAACCTTAGAATCACTCCAGGTGGCCACAGCCAACTGAGAACGATCCTCTGGAGGTTTGAACTCAAGAAGTTTTCACCCTTTAATCACGCTCTAATTCTAAGGCCATGGAGTCATCCGCCAGACTTGATTGCCTGTCTTCTTTGAACTCTTGAAGACAGATGCACGAGCCTATAGAACAGATCCTGTTCAAGTAAGGTCGTGCCTATGCCTTAAGCAAGGCTTCTAATATATACTCCATGCGAGAATAGGATTTAGGATGTGGGACTAAATAGCCTCTATCTTAAGAAAAATACATGAACGGGGAAAGCAAACACTACTCCCAAATTTATTCCAGAAAAATACATGATGTGTTTATTCAGTAAATGAACTTACAATCTTCCAGATTTATTCCTTCGTTTACTCTTTTAGTTAATTATATATCATCATAATTCCTATAGAATGTCATGCACTACTCGTTAATCGCTCTTTGATCCATAACGCAAAAACTACAGCTAATGCTATATTCACAACGTAGAGTGATGTCTCTACAGAAAGGGTGGGCCCCCGACAAATTCCCATGGAGGAGCAGTAGGGACGGGAGGGATAAAGAGAGGAGTGGAGAGCGAGAGATAAGAGGTAAAAGCCCCAAGAACAAGAAGAAGCCTAACAAAGACCAAAGATTCGAGAGGGAACCTAAAGAAATCCCAAGAACAAAAAGCTTCGTTCGAAAGGAACACTATAAAAGGGAAGCGATGAATACAGAAGGCGGGAGGAGAGGAAGCGAAACCTAAAGAAACCCCAAAAGAGACCTAAAGAAACCGTAAAACCGTAGACGATTCAAGAAGAGACTTCAACGAAATCCCAAAAACATGAAGAAGCCTAATGGAAAGTCAAGAAGAAACCGTAAGACACCCCAACAGAAAGAGATGAGAAAGAGCTTGGGGAACGCGGCAGCTCCGTTCGTGAAACTTCAGCCAGTCGACCCGACGGTCGAGAGACGCAATCTGATCTGATCTTAGGGGCCACAGCGGCTCCGTTACGAAGAAGTACTCGGAGTAACTCAACAGCCAAGAACGGGATCAAGGTGACGAGTGCGAGCCCCTGCTGCGCGTTCCCCTCGTCGCCCTCTGATTCTTTGTCCTCCGATCCCTTGGCAAAAAGTACTCAAGAAACGGCTTCAAGAACTCGAACGGAGTCGATAAGAGAGGTGAAGTACGGGATCAAGCGCATTACCTCGTCTCCGCATTCAGGAAGCATGCTGCTGCGTTCCGATCGATTCTCTCGGCCTCCTCGTTCGCTAGTTTCAAGCAATCTGAACGAGAAACAGAAACCAGTTCAAGAACTCGAACAGAGTTCAGAAAAGAGACCAAGTACGGGCTGTAGGGCATCACCTAGCCTCCGCATTCGAGAAACCTACCTGCTCGCTCTCATTGATTCTCTGGGGATCATAGCTCACTGGTTTCACAGCCAGTGATGGAAATGATCCAGACTACGAAGAAACCACATCGTCCTCCCTTTTATAGGGTTGGGAGCCAGCGATGTGGAGTCCGTAGAGACATCGACTCCTTGGTTGGGCTCAACCGATTCCACACAAGACCCAGAGGAGTCCTCGAGGTTGATCAAGTCCGGCAGTGCATGTGCACGAATCATAAAGCTTACCCTCCATGGAGATGAAAATCTTAGACTTTCAAGTGAAATATATATATATATATATATAATATTATTTTTTGAATAATTAGATCATGTTAATTATTAAAAGTTATTATAAGCATCATATAGTTAACAATAGGGTAGTCAAACATCTACAAGCCATTCGATCAACAGGGAAAAACATCAATTAATTTTCTAAAACCCAACCACAGATTTCGAAAGACATAAATTACAAGTTTCCGAAAGAATATGCCATATAAATGGACAAGCATGAGTTGGGAGTGGTTGATGAGCAAAAAGTGTCTAAAATTCCGTTGACATGCGGACGGCAGTACTTAAACAACAAATTACTTGATGAATCCTTGAGCATGACAGACACCATGAAAAGAATTAGACTTTGTTTTACAATGAAAAAAAAAAGAAGAAAAATCTCTAGAGCTAAATTGGTCGTGCAAATATCAAGATATATGCTGCATTGGCCTCGCAAGGTCTATGTACAAAGGTACAGATCGATAGCACCCAGAAATAGATTACAGCACTCACAATTTTCCAACGTACCCAAGTGGATTGGAAGATAGCAGCTCCATTCATGAAATCTAACTCATCTTTTGCTTTGGCAGCAGCACATGGCTCTCGTAAACAGATGCCACCTCAGAAGAGTTTTATTCGGGTATGAATCTCGCTACGGCAGATGGGGCATGTTTGAAGACTGGGACCACACTCACAACACGTCTGATGCAAAGAAGACTAGATAGTGTAAGCCTCCTGTGACCGATTACGGCTGGTAACTATCAATATTAGGTTAAGAAGGTGGAAATGAAAGACGTAACACAGACGAAATCTACTCATTGGTCAGAAAAATGTATACCTCTTTCTTCAAAGAGCAAAAGATGTTGGGTGCCATATAAAACAATGCACAAGAAGCCAGTTTATAGAGTCACTAAACACCTACAACATAAACCATGTTCCCAAAGAGCAACCAAAAAATGATAGGCAGTGAGAAATTTCACCTGATGCCCACAGCCAAAAGCCATATCCTTGGGGTTTGTAAGACAAATCGGACAAATCTGCCAAGAGTGAAATAAATGACTGTTGTCAGCAAAAGCTTGAGCAAAGGAAAAAAGTAGTAACATATGACAATCACTGAAAGCAGAACACCATTCTGGATCATACTACAGAATAATGAGATGTGATTTCAGCACTATAAGATATTGAAGGGAACAAAATGTCACATCTCTTCGGGAGTGTACCTGATTATCATATGAAGAACTTGGTGCCGAAGGAGTTGTACTTGATGCAGATGCAGATGCAGATGCGGACGCCAATGCCGATGCAGTCTCATAGCCAGAGTATGATGGTGCACTCTGCTGGAAACTGGTTGATTTAAAACTGTTAGAACCAACAGAGCTTCTACCATAGCCTCCAACAGGTGGAGGAAGAGGAACCCTCTCTGGAGACTTTGCAGAACGACGGCTGTTCAATAACAAAGATATCAAAGCATGTGCAGAGAAAGCAGAACTAGATGGTCTATAGATAAAGCAAAATCAGATCAAAAGCTTTGGATACATACCCCAAAATTCCCAGTTCAAGTGTTGCTTTATATTGTGAAGGTATCTCCATTAATGCTGCAAGGGCAAATGCAGTCTCTTTTCTCGCTTGGGGCATGTTCTTTGACATTATCTCCGTAAAATTTACAAACTAGAAAATATGCAGTTTCATAGAGATAAAAGCTACAGTAGATAAAAGACCCATTCTAGTATAAACTTATACATATTTGGCATCCAAAAGTTACCTGGAAATTGTCAAAGGCTCGTGCAGGAATGTTATCGTCAAATTCTTTCATCATGTCCCAAGGGCCATCTCCAACTCCAACTAATACTATAGACAAGGGAAATTCACTACAACAAAGAAGTATCAGGACAGGTACATTAGTAACAAGAAGTCATCAATAACTGTCTTCTCCATACTAATCAAATGAACAGATGACCATGACATCAATAAAAAGCATTTTGGTATTCATAGTTGTTATGCTATATTATTTAGATAATATATAAAACCATTGAATCACCTGATCTCTACCTGTTATGGGATTCTTTGAACAACAGATGAAAGAAATGAAATACTATTTTTACCTAGCTTTCACAATTGCCTCAACGGTCTTATGTTCTTGAGAGCTAAATTGCCCATATTCAGTATCCACACTCCTTGTAACCTGTGTAAGCACACTATTATTACGAGAAAATCATCAATGTCAATAAGCAGACACAAGCAAGGACCACAGTTGACCAAATTACTGACTGTAAGAAAGCAAATACCATAATGTTATATATATATATATATATATAACAGCATAGAGCATCATATTTTCCTTTTTCTCAAACTATCAAAGAAGATCTCATAGTAATCCAATGTACGTTCATCAAATTAGAGTTGTCGAAAGAGAAGAGGAAAACTAGAAAGGACTTGGATGGAAGTGAGGAAGGAGATAATAACTGATGGGTTAATCAAGGACAGGACACACTAAAAGTTGCAGAGCTAAACACAAAGAAAGATGAATCTTGTCCTCGATGGCTCCTTAAGTCCCACTAAAGACATTGTCATCACTGTTTCATCAATCACTATTCTGTAGAAGTTTCTCAATATGACCCTATCCTTGGGACTCATCCCAATGACCTCCACACACAACCTATAGCCTTGTTTTACAGTGTTGCCATCATTTAAGGATAAATTTGATTAATTGAACAAGCTCATCTTTAACAGGACTCCCATTATGCCAACTCACGATTGTACAACCATTAACATATATAAAATCTGTAATCAGAAACCAAGCTAGCAAGCAATAAAGACAGACGAGTCTGTTAATAATATTAAATGAACAAGTTTACAATACTCTAATTTAATTAACCTGTTGGCAAATAAGGGGGATAGTGAAAAGTCCTAGTGAAAGACTTCTGGATGTCCTTACCTACTTTTTTAATTGCTCCTATTTCTCTACCATTTCAACAGATAAAAATGCTATACAAATTCCATAAAAGCAAGAAAACTAATTATTTCATATTGCTAAAACTCCTTATGAGCCGTTGCACATATTAGCTGAAATTACTATCACATCATCAAGATTAATGCCTCATCCATTACGCAACAGTAAAGTCACTGTCACTGCCTCCTCCAAGATGTCTCTAGGTATCTATATCTGGACCCAAAGATGCACCAAAATTGCATCAAAAACCAAGGTCTCAAATCTGACCATGCTGGTCAATATACACCAGTATCTATTGGTCCAACGGTACCAATATCAAAACAAAACCTTGATACCTATATAACAACAATTTGTTATTGTTTTATTCGATGGTACTGGGTGGTACATGTTTATGTACCACCCAATATACCAGTATTAAAATAGTCTGATAGATGACAAAAACCAGTTCTGATCAAGATTTAAATCCTTGTCAAGTACAATTACATAAACATAAATATGAAATATCATACCTGCCCATCAGCAATTATCAATAAGACATGATACTGCCCTCCACTCTCTTCCACAATGGTCATAGCCATTTCAATGATAGGTGCAAACGAGGTTGGACCTAGAGGGAAAAGAAGTTTTTAAGTCACAATAATTACATATGCCAGAAATAGTTGACAACAGCAGAAGTACCAGCTAATCTTAAATGTGGTACAAGTTCTTTGTATCGCTCGAGGGCCTCTGAAAAGCCATTGCATGGTCTCTCGTCTGGATAGAAACTAAAGATATCCTGGTCATGTGTTGATGCTGCCAAATCATAAAGAAAAATTCAACATCTTCACATAAAAAATAACAATCTTAAAAAGTACCTTACTTCAGATGATATTTACCATCTCCAAAACCAAAGCAAGGGATCAAGTTATCCTCATCAAATGCTGATAAGGTTCGTCCAATGATCGACATTGCTTGTTCATATGGATTTGGTGAATCACCAATATGATGCAAACTGCGGCCTCTAAATGAATGTTTACCTAATTATCAGATGATGTCTAGTGTCAGTATATTTGATTTCGATATTATAACTACATTTAGTAATTGACTAAAATATATTCAATGTAATAAAGTCACCAGTCCACTCATTGCTCTTCGTGAAATCAACACCAACAATAAGATTTGAAGACTCAAGGCCAGCTTGTGAAAGAGCCTCAGTAACCTGAATGAGAAAATTTCAAACTATTTTAGTTAGAAAGGAAAAAGAATAGGAAGCATGGTGAAACTACTATATGTATATATGTACATATATATATGTATATACTTACATATATGTATATGTACATATATACATACATATATACATATATATATACACATATACATATATACATACACACACACACACACACACATATATATATATATACACACACACATCTGCAAGCTCAAAAAAGCACAAGAAGTGATATAGATACTACTAGCATGCCAAGCTATATCTCCACCAATATGTTACAAATATGCCCCTAAGTGATCCACTTTGGACTCATATAGACCACACCATCAAAAATGGATCTATATGAAGAATCAAATCAATTGAGTGATAATCTCATTAAAAGTTGCTGTCGTAGTTAAATCAAAGCAGTACCCAATATAAGCAATAATGATTCCAAAATCCAGAGAGATTTAGGATTTCACCATCATGATTGATGGCCACTAAAATGATAGGGAATGAGAATAAAGATGGGTTATGAATGTGTCTGAGGCTATCACAGAAAAGGTTCTAAGTTAAACAGAAAATTGTTGCAAAAACAAAGGAAAAAATGTAGCAAAGATGAATTAGAGGGAAGCAAAAAAAA